TCCAACACAGGAGAGAATATAGGAGACGATGCACAAATCTTGCTGCGAAAACTTGAGGGAGATCACAAAATGACCATAGAGCATTACCTTAGATTTGAGGAGATAAATAACATTACACTGCAGAGTGAAATGAGAACAGAAAATAGAGGGCAGGATACGGAAGCAACAAATGAATGTCCAAGAGTCTCTTGTACTGAGGCGAGAGAAGGACTTTTAAAATGTATCAGATTCACCGAACAGACAGAAAACGCTACTCAGAAGTTACAGACGATGTGGAACATGATGAAATGGTTGGATAAACAACAATAAACTTCCTGTAAATTGGTCACTGTCACATTCCTGTAATTCTTATACAAAGAACATTCCTTTCAAAATAATGAAATGCTACATTTCTCAATATGTGATTGATTTATTCTATTATTTGAGGTCCATTCTTTCTTTTTTTGTTAGAAAATATGAAGATAATAATAAACAGTTTTGGAACAAACTTAGACTGTCAATTTTTAGCAATTCCTTACTTTCTTATTATTGTAATCATGGGAATTACTTACCAGAAAGAACTTTGGGCATAAAAAATATGAAGGTACTGTAAACCAAGTTTTATTGGCTTGTGAGAAATTTTCGTGAAGTTTGCGAAAGGATTGTAATTGTGAATATTCACTGCGAACCAGTCCTTAAAGTCTCTGTGTCTGTGAAAACTACAGAAAAAAAAGATTAATCGCGAAAATTAATCGTCGTGAAGTAGTTTATCCCTGGTAAATTGCAAAAAAAAGTTGACGCGAATAAAAGTTGGTTTACAGTATTATGCATTTTCAATGACATGTCCTCACTGCAAGCTGAAACTCTGCAGTAAAGGAATATAATTTAAAAAAAAATGTTTTAAGGCCCATGTTTATTAATATACCAGGCAAACTCTTTACTTGTAAGGATATTCAGGGAAAAACCATATTTCCAATATATGTTTGACTCAGCTTCACCATGGAACTTGAAATTAATTTGAACCCAGAGGCCATGAACTTTGAACATTACGTCCATCCATATAATTAAATAGTGTGCCTACTAATAAATTGAGAATGAAAATGTTAGAAATAGCATTACTTTTGATGGAACATTCGCTCAGGCCATTTGGGGATGGAGAATGTGAATGAAACTTAATTATCCCAATGGTGGATACTGTATAGAAAGCTTTTTTCAGGTGTTTTAGAAAAGGAAAAGATTTTCAGTTGTAACATAAAATGAAAGAGTACATCCTAAAATAATGAACAAAAGAAAACCAAACTCATGTGATGCAAAAAGTGAATCATGATTAACTTAATGAAAGGTCAACAGATGTCCCAATTAGGAAAAAAAAAGATAAAGTAAGCAGTTCTCTTTATCAACAGCATCACTATGTTAGACCATGAGGCATGACCAAATTCAGCTGGACCTCTATTTTTAGGTCACTCAGGTGACCTATTGCTATCTGTTTTCCTCCGTCGTTGTGCTGTATGCATCGTGTGTTAACATTTGAACATTTTTAGCTTCTTCTCTGCAACCACTCAACCAATTTCCACCAAACTTGGCATAAAGCATCTATGGGTAAAGGGGAACAAAATTGTGATTTTCATGGTCCCTGCCCCCCTGGGGCCTGAGGGGTGGGGCCAAAACCACTAAAATTAATGCAATCTTTAAAAATCTTCTTCTTTACTCCTGGACATCAAGCAGTCAAACTGTTAGTATGAATGTAATGACCATTGTGTCCTCTACCAGTATTGTGAAATTCATGGCCCCAGGGTCAGAGGTTCTTGTGCTAGGGTGGGGCTCTATGGATTATATAGAGAAATGCATTAATTCTTTAAAAATCTTCTTCTCTGCTCCTGGGTATTAAATAATCTAACTACGTACATAGGTATGGTGAGCAAGAATGCCTCCTCCAAAATTGTGAATTTTATGGCCCCAGGGTCAGGGGTTCTGGTGTTAAGGCAGGGCTCTATTGATTATATAGTGAAAATACATGAATTCTTTGAAAATCTTCTTCTCTGCTCCTAGGTATTAAATAAACTATAACTAAGTGCAAAGTTATGATGAACAAGTGTGCCTTTACCAAAATTGTGAATTTTATGGCCCCAGGGTCAGGGGTTCTGGTGTTAAGGCAGGGCTCTATTGATTACCGGTATATACGGTAGAGAAAATGCATTAAATCTTTGAAAATAATCTTCTCTGCTCCTGGGTATTAAACAAACTAAGTATATAGTTATGATGAGCAAGAATGCCTCTTCCAAATTTGTGAATTTTATGGCCCCAGGGTCAGGGGTTCTAGTGTTTAATAAGGCAGGGCTCTATTGATAATATATCTAGAAAATGCATTATTTATTAAAAAATCTTCTTCTCTGCTCCTGCATTGGGTTTTAAATAAACTAACTGCGTACATAGTTATGATGAGCAAGAATGCCTCTTCCAAAATTGTGAATTTTATGGCCCCAGGGTCAGGGGTTCTGGTGTTAGGACAGGGCTCTATTGATTATATAGAGAAAATGCATTAAATTTTTGAAAATTTTCTTCTTTGCCCCTGGGTATTAAGAGATGAACTACCTAAATAGCTATGATGACCAAGGGCCATTCTTTCTTCTGAATTTCAAGGCTCCTGGGTCAGGGGTACCATGGAGGGGGGCTCTACTTATATACTGAAAATGAATCAGTTGATTGAAATCTGCCCCTTGGTATTAATCAAACATTTTTGATAAGCAAGGGTGCCTTTTCCCAAATTGTGAAATGTGGACGTGTGGACCAAGGGTCAGGGGTTCAAGTGTGTTAGTGGCACTACTGATTATTGCAGAATATTACTGATTAGTCGAAATGCATCTTTTTTGTTCCCCTACTCTGTCTATGGGTATTAAGTAACCAAAGTAAGCATGCTTAGTGTATAGTTATGATAAGCAATGTGCCTCTTTCAAAATGTGAATGTGAATATGATTGCTATGACATCTAAGTTTAAAACATGAACTAAATTCAATCATTGGAAAAGTGTTGCATGATGCTCAGGTGACCTATAAGGCCTATGGGCCTCTTGTCTAATAAAATACCTACACATGCAATTTTCAACCTTATACATATATACATCCCTACAAAAACTGATTGCTTTATTATAGTTCAAAAAGGATAACTCTGTCAAAAATCATTCAACCATGACCAAATTCAAACTTAACCTGTGTGTCCCCATGACATATCCACTAGGGCTAGGAAAAATATTGGTATTTAGATATACTGCAATACAATGACAAAAAAATATTGTATTGCAATATATTTTAATAGTACTGATATACTGGCAAATGCTATTGGACACAGGAATTCTATCATTAAATATGAACTTGAAAAAGTTATGACAAAGGTTTGTGATTAAGCAAGACATTAAGACAGAAGTGTTTTATGGATGTATTTCAGTATATAGCTAATTAAATCAACTTGATTATTTTCCCCTTTGGTTACTTTATTATCATAATTATTTACATTCTGCATGTAAATTGGAAATTTAGAAGTTTGTATCAAGAGAAAATGCCATTTTAATTACATGTACATTGAAAATATTGCAATACATATCACAAACTGTAAAATCACATAGATTCTTGGGATCAAAGAAGATGGGAGCATTTGGCGTGTGATCTGCAGGAATCATTTGTACGAAACATTTATGGTTTAAATGTCCATGATTTGGTTAGCTGAACATAGCTTGTCATAGGTTTTTTTTCAATTAGTTTGAAAGTGCGAGATTGTAACATTTTAGTCCGTTTTTCCTAGGGGGTACTATAACATAGTAATGTTTCACAAAAAATAAACACCTAAAATATTTAATGCATATTGATGCATGATACGTGTACATGATGTACATTATATAGAATAGAAGATTAGAATTGATTTCGCTCGAGAAGCAAACTGAACCAAAATTAATCAAATCAAAATTTTAATATATCGGTACATAAAACAAAACTGAGAAAATAAATGGTTGTTTGCATGAAAAAAAAAAAAAATTAACGCCCCATGCCAGGCTCGAACCAAAAACTTTTCGAGTGCAGTGCACTGAACAGGTTGCCCTTCCTACTGAGCTATCACCGCTACACATACACAGTTGATTTTAAAAGGACAAAGAAGCACCACATTCACACATTTGGATTTTTTGGGGGAAAGTTCCTTTTTCGTGGTCTCTGGGTCTTCTCTCCATTTTCTAAAAAAGTGTATTCATTTCTTTGAATTAAAATACACACAAATAACGTTTCAAAATTATGGAGAGAAGACCCAGAGATAGAAAATTTTTTAGAAAAACGTGTTTAAAAATGTACAATTTTCTACCAAATGTCTGATCTGGCCAATTTTCAAGCTATTTTTAGCAAATCAAAGCTCAATTTCGGGAAAACATTTTCCTTTCCTGTTGTACAGGAACCCGATAAATAAAATAAATCTTAAAATTTCATGTGACATGTCGATAAATTTTCACTTTTCAATTACGCCCAGATTCCTGCCGAATGCAAATCAAAAGCGCCCTCGTTCTTTTCGTGGTTTGAGGAAAAACTCTTTGTTGGTGGGAATTTGATTTTGTGGATAAATAATTGTTGAATAGTTATTTATGTATAACATTTTACATTTCATGGTAGATATGATTCATGGGTCTCTTCACACCTTGATAACAACGAAAATTAAACCCCCACGAAAATTTGTGATTTCACAGTAGTTATAAATATTAGTATCGCAATACGAAATCTCTGGCCACTACCCAGCCTTAATATCCATATGTCAAATTTCTGATGAATGTGTGCAACTGTTGCCAAGATCATGATGACAGAATAACAAGAATGACAGAACAGGGGAACACTATACACCTCCCACCATTTTGTGGCAAGGGCATAAAAATTTCTTGTTCATGTGAAATCCATTTTCTTTGATGTGTACATTACAGTATATTTTTTATCACAGAAAAATGAGACAAATATTAACCAACACAACACATTCATAGAGAACAACAACTATACTTCATTAAAATATTTTGCTTTATTTATGCAAAATATAATTGTTACATACAAATAATGATCATCCTGAGTATCTAGTACAGAGTGTTACCATGGCAACCTACACTGAGTAAATCAGACTGGTGTTGTCCACATACAGTCTAAACAAAATACTGTGCATTCAACCCAGAATACTAAAGCCTGACAACCCAAACCAAGACGTACAGGAATAGAGCCTCCCCACAGGGCGAAATGTTGTACAACTGAATCATTCAGAAAGGAAATAAAAAGCAGGGTTCAAAACAACCGATAATAACAGGGTTACAAATTCTGAATAAAATACATAAATCTAGATCTGAATTTTAGAATATTAACAACATTCTACACAAATCCAAAGTTCAACTAACTGAGATTCTTGGAAATGCTTGTAATTGATAGTTGTGAAAGTCATTTGTTGTAATTTTCCAAATGTTTGAAATGATGCGATATTAATGCTTGTGAACTCATACAGTTGATAAGCTAGACTTTCAGTCATAACAAATGTATAATGATATGATTGTAAAAAATAAACAAAACCACATATAACAAGAGCTAAAATGAAATAAATATGATCATTCAACATACTAAGCTATAGTGTAAATATATAGATAATACATGTATATAGATATATGGGTATATATATATTAAACATCTAAAACAAATCACAATCACAATTTACTTTCATATGTAAGATATCCAATATATATACAAAACTAGAACGAGTTATAACATAATAAACTAAATTAAAATATATCCAAAGTTATTGCTAAACAAGAATTTCATTCACTGTATTTTAACAAATTAATTTCTTTTTTATAATTTTAATGTTTAAAACAAATCTTGATATAGTGTTAAGCTAAAATCAGTTGAAATGGTATATAAAATGCAACATTCTTTGGTTTCACAATGTTATGAAATTAAAACATCCTTATCAAAACAGTGTATATGATATCAAGAAGTAAGACATTTTGATTACCATTTAAGTAACTGATGTACATAAAAAAATACGAAGTGTACCCTTATTTCTCTACAAATATCACACACCTTTGATTAATATCTTCAATGGTAAAAAATACCAATATTGCAACAATTTGTTCACAAATAAACAACATACACATACTACAGGAAGCTGGTGATGTTGAGTCCACTCGTGTCAAAAATAATGATAGTTTGTAACCACTGTCTGCTTGCATAGATAGTAATTGCACTATAGATTATGACAAGGTTTGAATAAAAATATAAAAATCACTGAATGAATTACACATATTTTATAGTAGTGTAATATTGACTATTTAGTCTTTACCCAACTGTGAATGACACAACCATATCAAGCATGAGGACTCCTAAAGTCAACATCACACTTCGACTCCTCTCCTCTCATGTCAATCAAACATCACAACAAAACTCCTCCTCTTTCTTTTTTAACTGACAGCTGTCAATCCCTAATGCCCATGATGGCAGATCCTGTGGTTAGGCACCAAAAATAGCATTCACCTGCTTGCTCTGTGGAATCTATTTCTTTTTCAGGTACATATGGAATGGTTTGATCACAGCTTGTTCAGCATATACAGTTAAATTAATCTCCATAACAAGTATTGTGTCTCTGAATATTTTTGTGTGTACGTTTCATACTTCCTGTCCAACTCGATCGTCCTTCAGAAATTCCTCCAAGCGGTTTTCTTCATTTGGTGTGACAGATGTTTCATTTGGAATTACAGGCACTGTCATGGAAACATTTGTGAAGAAAGCCATCTTCTCTCTAAAACAGATTTAAATTTAACAATTTAATTTCAAATCAAAATGTTTTAAGATCTATCAAACAGATTAAATCTAGGATTACAAAAATGTAACAAACATAAAAGTTCCTTAATTTTACAAATGTTATATCCCTAAATGGCTGAGGGTAACAAGCCTAAAGGGATGAATGCTACACATCTTAGGTATGAGTGTTGTATACCTGAGGAACTGAGTGTTACATAGGTAAAGGACTGAATATAATTTATATAAAATACTGAATATTACATGTACTGAAGTACTGAATATTACATATGAAAAGGATTAAATGTTATATACCTGAAGGACTGGGTGTTCGAGTGAGGGCTATTCCTTTTCAGCCTTTGAACCTCTCTGGTGACTTTCTTCATCATCTGTTCTGCTCGTCTGTCTTGTTTTGATAACTGCTTGCTGTCTTTATGAGCCTGAAACATCATCATGGCATTTACATGTAGCATTATTTTATATCAATAGGCTTAATTCATATCATTACCTATAAAGTAAATATTCATCCATTCAGACAAAATGTGACAAATGTCTGCAAGTTAATTCTCAGAAAATACTTTTTTCTCCTTGAAATTAAAATGAACCATAACTTTTTTATGTTTGGGTAAGTCCAATTCTTTATAAATCCCTCTCAAACACAGATAATGTTCATTTTTATAATATGTTTTTGTTAGATACATACTTTCACGTAAGTTTAATACATGTACTATGATAAGTACACAACACTGAATGTGTTAAAAGCCTATAAAAATAGATAAGTAAATCATTTTATTGATACATGTTTATATACTGTTAGTGAATACAGCTTCGGGTAAAATAAATTACCATATATATGCTTTATGGTTTATGAGTTAAACTGAAATGCCTATTTTTTTTTTTAAATAGGTTTTTCATTTCAACTAACTTTTTTATGATCATCCTTAGATGTATGTAATCTAATTATAATCTACATACACACATGTTTAATCAGTCAATATTTTTTTATTTCTTTAGGATTTTTGCTACTATGCATTCTTTTGTGAATAACTATGGTTAATTTTAAATGCAATGCCAGTTTACATAAATGGACAAATTGTTAAAAGTCTGAGAGTACAGGGATTGCACATTCTAGTGGACAAGATATATGTCATGCATAGCATGCTGTCGAACAAGTGATTCCTTACTGTTCTAACAGCCTCAAGGTCTCTCAGTTTCTGGAAAACCATTACATTATCTATTTATCACATTTGATCAAAACATCTAATTTTTATCCAAGGCTTCAATCTTCCTTTAATTATGCCTATGTGACTTTGCACAAATAAAGGTTTATCACTACTGACAATGAATGTGCAAGAGAATACGTATGTAGAGAAGACCTTACCATTCGATCTGCTTCTGTTAGAAGTTTCTGAAACTGTTCATTGTCAGCCAACCAGGAAGGGAGCTCAATCTCACCTATAGCAAATACAAACTTGTTCAAGAATTTGTGTCCTCAAATTTGTCTCTCTCTTTTCTAAATATATTCTTCATATTTCTAAGATGACAAAATTTCAATGGAAAATGTTTACAATTATTGGATAAGAAAAAGATAAATCTTGATAAAAATGAAACAATATTCTGCAGATGAGAAGCATTTTTCCCCTTTCTGATATCTGTTCAACACCTACCCTTGGCTTTTGCATTCTCCAGCAATGTGTGAAGCTCTCTCAGTCTCCGAATCTCATCGTGGAGTTGTGCATGTTTAGTTTTGGAAGCTTGTAGGTCCAGTTCCAAATCTATTGAGGTTCTCAAAGGGAGTTTTTCTCCACGGATACCGTGAATAGTTGACTGAAATAGACAACACGTAGTAATAGAAAATATTTCCACAAACTACATCTACTGAATTTTTATAACACAATTTCTTTTGAAGAGTTGTCTCTCTTTCTAATTCTTTTATCATCACAAAATTTTGGGGAGGGATTTTTAAAAAAAATCAATTTTATACAAATGTATCTACCAATAAAGATGAATTTTTATCATCAATGACATGTTTTTCAGTGAATGTCTTACTCTTTTCCATCGCATGCTTCTGCGATCCAGTGAATTTCTCTGAAATGGACCTTTCTTGATATGTGACATAGCACTGTCACTGTCACTTCTGTTCAGCTAAAAACCAACAATTTATAAAATAAATACACACCAATAAACAATGCACAATGATTGCACAACAATGTAGAAATTCTGCTTAAATCAAAATACTCTGTCATTTATTGCTGGGGAAAAATCTTCCCCGTTTGAGGATAGCTTACCCTACAGACATACCTACTGCCTGGTTTATGAAAGCTTACCCTACATACATACTGGCTGCCTGGTTTATGATAACTTACCCTACACACATATTGACTGCCTGGTTTATGATAACTTACCCTACACACATATTGGCTGCCTGGTCTACACGCTGGGGAGAAAGTCTGTGACCTCCTGATTGTGCTACTCCTGGTTCCCTCCTGAGGTCTCCTCTTTATGGTGGCACGGTCCGAGTACATTGACACTGTGTTAGTTTCCTTGTCGCAGGTTCCTGTTGTCATGGCGTCCTCCTGGTCAGTGGAACTCCCACTGTCGTCTTCTATGTGAACTGCATTGTGGAGCTCCTCCATGACTTCATTTATTTGCTCATCATAGTCCTGCAAAATAACGCTCAACTATTTATCAAAATTATTACTTTTCAATATTACATTTAAACTTCACTCTACACTAAATTTCGCTGGAGAGACTTGGAAATGATTGACAGTTCTTGTGAATCAAGGCCTCTGACAACTAAGTACATCTGTATGTTTTTATGTAGGTTAAAGAATGCCACTTTACAACAGTTATTCGGATTATTAATGTTTTTACTATTCTTTATAGAAGTCACGCCCTGTGTCTTGTGTTGATACTTACAGCTTCATTTTCTACATCCTCCTCCTCTTCTTCACCTGTCAATGTGTTCCTGTTGTACAACTTCTCAAAGTCTTCAGGACCTATAGAACAAAGCAAACAAAGCATTACAATCAAGTCTCACAACTTTAGCATTTTGTTCAAGTAAATAGAGGTAATAAACATTGACACATTGAATATGTTGGTAGATTTTAAAAATAGTTGTCAAGACGAGTATATAACACCTGAATGGCACAGCAGGTATACAGCCATGACCTGCTGTAAAAACTCACCATGATTTCGTGTCAGAGTGGATGTCTGGGAAGATATGACTGTGGATTCATCACTACTCTCTTCTTTCAGGTACATCACCAAGGGATGCCTTAAGTGACTGAAAGATAAGAAATTGAGCATTTTATTTGCATGAGAAATCAGACTAAAACTTGTCATATTAAAGCATGTGAGGTTGGAGAGCTGCAAGACGCAGTTAACAGCTGATCTCACACACTTAATGGCCTTCAACTTTTACAATCAACAATACTAAACAATACAGGATAGAGAATTCAAACTGATGTAATATGTGCACTTGTTCAACTTAGCCTTATCTTTTCTCTCTCATCAGAACATAAACCCAGTGTCAGAAGTGGGAGTATGCATTTTAATTCCAGACAAATTGCATCATCGGTATTATTTTCTAGAAGATGTTAACAACTGTCTGGGGCATTTAAACTTCTTATTCTCTCCTCTGTCTAACACATGCATCACTGGTGTTGAGTGCATTTGAAAACTGCTAGCATGCAATGTGTGCATGTAAACCCAATATTGAATTCCCACTGTTCTAATATTTTTCCCCATAGAACTTCTCTTTTTCAGAATCAATTCATAAACTATTCTCGAAACTTGTCAGAGAACACAACAAAACCATTTGTACTCTATATTTCTTAAAATCTTAAATGGGAAACGTCTGAGACAATAAGTTATTTATTTGAGCCACATCAATAGTATGTACCTGCCGTCTCGAAGTCCCTCTGTGGGTGTCTGTCTATCCTCTGTTTTCTCCAACCTGGCAGAAGAAGCTTCCAATAGCTTTGTTATGTCCTCCTGAAGTTCACATAATCAACTTATTCAGAATTTACAAACAACAAATCTACAAATCTTATTTTATTCACTGCATGTATACAGTTTTGATTAATCCATATGGTTTTTATACAATGATCGTATACCTGTGCTTTATTTTGAGACATTACATTAACCCCACCTTTTGACTTTCTGGGGAGGCCACTGGAGTTTTATCTTTGGGGGTATCCACTTGTTTCTGTGTAGAATCAGAGGAGTCCGACTGCATAAATTTAAAGCTTAATACATTGTACCATTTCTGGGACACAGACTTAGGGTCAAAGTCTGCCAGGCTAACCTGTGCACAGCCCTGTAAAAATATAATAATACATGAAATTTTATTTTGTGAAATTGTTTACATAGTACTGTATATTAACAATCTTTCAAAAAACAACAAAGTTGATTTCAGAATCCAGATACCCCACATACCAGACATTCTGAGCCCTGTTGATTGTTTAAGCTCCAAATCTGGACTTGTAGAGTCTTGTTAATGAGTAGTTGTTCTGGTATTGATATCCTGAACTCTTCACAGAACTTGGGATGCTTTAAATCTGATAAAGCCTTTGTTGTCCATGATGCATTCTTAATATTGGGAAGTAATGCTGCCTTTATGCATCTATAAAATATATTGATTCACTTATATTTTTTCCGAAATATGCCAATTTTTCAAAATTGTACTTGCATCTTCACTCTCATCACAAGTGTAAATAATAGTGGCACATGATAAGACCATAAAAGAACAGATATCACAATTCCAAAATACAGCGACCTAAGTCATCAATAAAAAGACATATCATAGGTTAGCTTATAATCTACAAGCACGACGAAAAATATCTTGAAAGTTTCATGTGTAGGTATGACAAAACAATGGGCACATAGGGGTAATACTATATGCACTCATCGTTTCACAGTAGAGCGAAAAAAAAATCATTTCTACAAACAGAATCATAATCACTTTATATGTTTTCCTGTTCTTTCTATTTATATTAATTGAATGATGTTTGTAACAGACCCCACATCAAACACAGGTTATAGAACTTTGATTAGAGAGAACTTACACATTGCTATTCTGTGGGAAAGCAAGTGCTGAGAGATTCCTGGCCTGCTCTATACCGATGATCAGCTGGCTGTCAACACTCTTGTATCTAAAAGTAAACACAAGTCAAGTTCAAGGATTCTCTCACATCACACACTCTCTAACAAGAAAGGAATATCAAAGCTGTGAATACCTCCAGGAATCTAAAGATGTATATAAACAAAGACTGGAATGCTTACTTGAGTTTTATTTGAATTTGGGCACTTTCCAGGTTCATTTCAAACATGTCATCAATGGCATCTCTGTAAAACAAATTATTCAACAATTTTCTTAATGATAAATTGAAATTTGAAACAAAGCCATTCTGATAAATAATTGGAGGTTTGACATATAATTTAACCATATAATTTTTCTATTCAGTGTTAAATCTTGTACATTGGGATCTAAGTTAAAAAAAATTCTACTCAATATATTTAACACTTCAATCCAAAGAGAACTACAAACCTTTTGTTGGAGACATTCATGGAAGCCTCAAATACTCCACTGTCACCAGCCACTGACTCATCACTGACAGCTGCTGACACACTTCTGGTATTGCCACCTGACAAATTATTGCATACACCGGAACTACTTTCACTGATTGGGCTGAGTGGGGGGTTAGACACATCCATGATGTCTGCAAGCTGTGACCTTTTGGCACTGATAACACTTTCATTTACTGATTGTCCTGGAGGGGGACTGGGCTGCACCAATGATCCTTTGCCAGCTTCTATTCTAGGCCCAGAGGGCAGTCCATTCAAGGGGTCTATGTTTGATTGATCTGCTACGAGATTGGCACCGGCATTATATGATAATGGTGGTGGTTGGGGTATGTTATAGGTGTTCACTTTTCTTGGCAAGCCAGCAACATTTGTCATGTGTTGGTGATATGAGGGAGGTGGTCCAGCGTCATAGGGGGACACGGGGGGTGAGGAGGCAATTGAGGATGAAGATGAAATATCATTATTACTGGCCATAACACTTTGGAGATAACTGTTTGTGGCTGCTTCAGTCACATCAGAGGACACCTGCAGTTCGTGTATAGGAGAAATACTGTGTCCTTGTAAGAGTTTCTCCACCCTGCGATGCAGGTCCTGTAAATTTGTGTCAGGAGAATGCTGCTGGCCATAAATGTCCAGCATGTTAAGAGAGTTCAGTGACCCGCGACTACATGATGATAATGAACCTAGTGATCCCAGGCTTGATCCCGATGACACAGAAAGAGTACTGAGAGACAAACTGAAAGTAAACAAAAGTAAATTGAAAGTAAGCAATGAATCTTTTCTTTGATCTCCTAAACCAGCTGTTTAGAGATATCTAATGTTTATCCTGAAAACTAACCTGCGTAACTGTGACTCAAGTAATGATGTAAGTCTGGTGGTCTCTGCTAATTCTTGCATTATTGATGACTTTTCTTCATGAAGTTGGAGTCTATAAACAAATGGTTGAACAATATAAGCAACTGTACTTCAAGTTCTCTAGTGTCTGTATTTGTCAACATTATTAATTGCATAATTTTAAAAAAATATTTAGTTCAACCAAGTACAAACACTGTCTAAATATTATCTTAAAGTACAGCTGAATCCTGATGATCGCAGCAAGTGTGCACCTGCAAAGCACTTTAGGTGCACTTTAAGTGTGGGAATTCATTTTTTTTTTTTAATTGCAATGCCTATACTCACCTATCTGCAATCTGTTTGTTGGATATCTCCACCGCAACATTCAAATCATACTCTAACTGACTTATTCTCTGTTGTACATCCTTCATTTCTACCTGACTTCGACCTTTAGGATTAATTCCTTTAAGCTCTCGAAGAAGCTGCTCTTTTTCTTGCAACAACATTAGTCTGAAATGTCAAAGTCTTACTTTAATAAAATTCAATTTTCAAATTTATACATGTGCTATAACCATGGAAAAACAGAAACAAGGTAATAAAATTCAATGAGTAAATTTTTCAAATTTATACATACATTTGGCTGTGTAACCACCGGAAAAAACACCGCTAAATGTCTTGCACATATACACATAAATAAGAATATGAAGAAAAGCGCTAAATCAAATCCATTACTTATCAAAATTCAACTAAATATCGTACTCGCTTAATATAATAATTATTTCATCATACCTTGCAGGGCAAAACTTGATACACATTAGAATTGAACTTCATAATTTTTAAAGGAATGAAAGACATATATTTCAGTAGAGTTATCTCTCTTATCAGAGGGTTGAAGAACCTTAAATCCATGTTCTTTTTTGAGTTTTTATTCTTATATATTTCTATTTAAAACTTTGATCTCCTAATTGAGCCCACCCAAGACCTTAGGACCAGGACTTGTGAGACTAATTTCCTCTTGAGGAACAATAAAAGATTCCGTTTCATTAAATATAAAGTACAAAATCGCAAGTGTTCTGCAATTTCATTCACAAATCCCTCTAGATTAGCTTGAAAATGATATAAACCTTGAGTTAACCTTGTTTATAGTGAGTTCAGTATTTTATTATAGGAATATAAAAACAAACATGATCCTAAGTTAGTAAAATCATGCTTCTCTGTAGACACTGTATCAGGTGTGTATTACCCCCCTTGGCCACTGACCTGTCTTTGTCTGACTCATTCTGACCAGGTATCATCTGATCCTCAATGTTAGCCAGTTTATGCTTGAGATTCGAGAGCCTTCTCTTAGCTTCATCATACTGAAGTCTCAGGCGTGTGATTTCTGTGATGTATCTGTTGCTGCCAGGTCCCTGCTGCAAGTATCAAATTTTATCAAAATAATTCACAAATATAATACTGAACACAATATACAGTCTTCTTTATCAACTACACATAAACTGCAAATGCACAGGATCACACTCAAAGAATAAACAAATGTAATGTTCTATTCATGAGAATAGAAAATTGTCAAAAAAGTATAACAAATTCAAGATTTATATTTTAAATCATTATCTTAAATACTGTATCTTCTAATATACTATAATGAAGAGGAAACAATAGTTACCTCCCCTCTGAGGTCAGTTTGAGAGGCAGTGCTTGATTTGAGTGGTATAGACAGAGTCGATACATCTGGGGAGGATCCGCCATGTTTATTCATCAAAAACTCGTCTTTCAACCGTGACAGGGACTGCAGAGTAAAAATAATAATTTATAAATGCATTCAAACTCATTGCACCTGTCTTGAAAAATTTTACCATCGTATAAGCAGAATTTTTAGCACGGGTTTAATTTTGGCATTATGCATGGATGCTGAGATCACTAAAATTGAATAACGCTAAAATCAATTCCATTTTATTTGTAATACATGTAGTTTCTTTAGTGAGCATTTTAAAATTGCTAAAATTACATCTCGCTAAAAATGAAATACCAATTTTTAAGGACAATTTTGTGGATCAGTAAAATTTCCACTTATACACTATATCATAGGGAAAAATAATTGGTAAATATTTGCATTTAAAAAAAAGAAGAGTTTCAAATATTAGTTAGATTAGATCACTGAGAAATATGAGAATAATGCATTCTGCAAAGTTATATAACTGCTGCATAAATAGAAAGTAATATTTCATAATACTGTATATATGCACTCCTTATTAACTTGTGGGAGACAAGTATTCACATTAACTACATCTCCAAAGCAATTAGCATCACAGAATGACTCAATACTTGGGTTTTGTTGTTGCCAAAATTACATGCAAGTTATTCTCATACACATCCTGCACAAAAATTGCTTGCAGCTATGCTAGATGCTATGATTCATAACCAGAAAATTGCAATTTCAATGAAGGTTTATGTGAAAATAATTAATTCACTTTTCTCTATTTTACCTAGGATATTCAGGGGAAATAATCTAAGTGTTCACTGAAATTCTTTCTTATTGTGATTTTGCAAGAATTGCTGGCAAATCTTCAAAAGTTATATAATACTGCAGTTCAGCATAAAGCACAGTAAACTCCCATCTCTCACATTGTTAGGTGCACTCTCTACATCCATTCATTTCAGACAGTCTTCTGCTAAAACAATTTCTAAAACCCTTTTTATCAATTATCAGATATTGAAACAGATTTTAATTATTACAACTTTGCCAATCTCTAAATCCTTCAACACTGATCTACCTCAGTGCACCACTAATCCAGTGGAGAGTGAGACAAACAATTGCAGCTAAAGCAGGTTCTGATGTTTTCTGTAGGAGCAGGGAAGTCTAGGAAGGCTTGGCAACCCTCAGAACATTAGAATTTTTATCAATTGTTCTACAGGTGTTAAGGGCTCAGCTTATGTTTTGTAATACATTATAATCATCAACAAAACTTCTGAATGAACAGGTAGTGACTCATCCAGTCAGCCCCCACTTCCCTTCAGCACCTCCCAACTCTGTAAACATCTACCAGCAGTATTCCCATTTCAAAACTGAATAGTGCATTATCAGGGTTTTACACATTGTACTCCAATGCAGAATCACATCAATGTGGCACTGTCACATTGTATTTTTTATGAACCATGATTGGGTAAACATTTAAAAGTCAACTTTATTATCCTTGAGATCTGCCAGGATAATTCATTAGTTACCTGCATAAGGCCCTGCTTTTCTTGTTCTCCGTTAGACAGTGAGTTCTGAAGCTGTCGAATCTCTGACAATATTGAGTGAGCCTGGTCTACACTGTAGAAACCACCCTCTCCAGACAACTTCTTGTCCACTCTGAAACAAACATTAATCCATTCAATTGCTTCAGAGCATTGGTTAACAAGATATCACTAAGTCATAAGTGACTAGATTGCAAAGTATTCAGTTTAAAATCTGAAATGGTTATCATGATCAATTCTGCATTAGGTGCTTCATAAAAAGAGCTCAGAGATCCAGGGATGCTCATCCATCCATCTCTGAATATCACTCACTAATCTCAAGTTAATAGGTCAAGGTCAAAATCTAATAATGGAAAAATTTTAAATACATCACTTTCCATTAGTATGAACTTAACCCATTAGTATAAACTAAATAAAAGTGTCAAGTTTATAATCAGAATTCAACAGACCCGTAAAATTACAATTTACCTACTATTCAGGTCAATTCCAAAGGTACATTGTATTACCAAAATGTTGACCAAAATTTTAATAATATATGGTGTTTGAAGACAATAATTAGGAAATTTTATCATTAACAGGAATTTTTCCCTTTTTACATATGTCAATAGAGCTAAGGTAAAGGAAGAAGACAGCACTTAACACATCTTAAATAACTGTGTACATTGTGAATAGGTCATGCAAAAAGAGCAATAAAGAACAAACTTAGCAAACTTGCTATTATAGGACATGGAGGATGGAAATCACAAGTCAATACTGTATACAGGGAAATTTTCGCCCCCGTTTTATTTTCACCCCTTTCGCCCTACTATCATTTGGGCGAATTTAAAACCGGGCGAATTCAAAGAATACAGTATAATTTCTTAAACAAAACTATGACTGGGCGAATTTTAAACGGGACAAGATTGTTTGCAAGTGTGAAAGGGCAAAAATAAGACGGGGCGAAAATAACCCTGTATACAGTAAATCAGAGATTACTTTGCATTCTGGCAGAATTATACACTGAAATACATGTAATAAAATTGTATTAACGACAGGCATTAATAATCATGAGAATGGAGACTACTTGAAATATGCTAATTTCAAATGACTTTTATAAGTCAACCATTCTAAATATCTATGTAGATGAAATGTGCGAGGAAATAAATCAAGCAAAAACTTTTTTTTTTCTATTAAGTGAATATATTAGGCCACTAATTAGAATCACTGAGGTAAAATTAAGATTTACAGGACAGATCCTGTGACAAAGCTGTGCATTTATTATGCTGACATTACTAGGGGATTAGGGTTTTGATACACGTGTATCTGCTATACATGTTGGACGATTTTTAGTTGTTTGTTTTCCTATGCCTCTAATCCGTAGGGGTCATCTCTTTACACAGGGTGAACTCATGGCGCTTCTCACAAACAACATTCCACACATTCCTGACCATCTCCAATTTTACTTATGATGGGGGATTTTTTGACAAGGCCTAGTCTCATTAGCAGTGATAAAGTCCTATTGTTCACTGACCTTCCAGTGGTACCTGATTTCCTATAACATTTCTACAGTAACATAGATTCTTCCTGTTAAGACATTTTCTTTTGTTAGCTGTTGTGTCAAACAGACAGGAACTACCAGATTTTTGGCATTCTCAAACAAGATAATATATCCTGATATTGTAATCTGTTCTTTTGAACTTTTCAAATAGCTAGGTTATTCATCTTAAATAAATACTCAAAAACAACAACAAATGATAAAGTGTTAATCCCTGAGATTTCAAATTAATTATTTCACATTTTTGGGGGGTGGAGTAGTTGGTAATAAATTGGAGTGACCTTCAAGAAGAAAACACTTATAGGTAAATGCTTAGAACTGTAATTCAATAACTTTGGATACATTTATGAAAGATTTTTTGTTTGAAATATTGCTGCAAATAAACTAAATCTTAAAGATAGCAGTAGACTGGCTGTAAGCACATTGAAACATTATTTAATGGGTAAGGCATGTATTGCAGATTTTATTTCTATTAAATTGAAAATCATTCACAAAACAAAAGGTTGTATATTCAACAAGCTCTATAGACCCTCTGTGAATGTGGGATTGCGTAATATATGGGCGTGTCTTACTGTGCTAAGGTCTCCACCCCCTGCTCCTTGTACACCATCTCAGCCCGGATCTGTTCCAGCTCCCGCTTCAGTCGAGCCACCCTGTTCCTGGCCAGGTGTACATCCGACTTCAAAAGGTCAGGGTCATACTTAGTGCTGCCAACACTGGAGTTGGAATTCACTGCAAAAGGAACACCAATGTGATGCATCATGCAAAAAGTGCAACAAATCATGTAACTTGTAGTATGAAATTATAAAATATTGACAAAAAGATGGTAGAAATCATTTTATGACTTACAGCTTGTTCTTGATGATTTCCATCCCCCCAGTGTGTCATTTAAGTGTTCAAATTCATCCTTTGCTAACTGAAGTCTCTGTTCTTTGACTGAGAAAATCTCTCTCTTAGCCTGCAAGAACATATTAAGTTCATATTTAAATTCATAAGATACTATTATACTACATTGTTGATTTTATAAAGCAATTTCTATGTTTCTTATGTTTCTTAAAATATCATTAATAAAATTAGGTCCATGGTGTTCTCATTAGCATATTGCAGGATTTTTTTTTCAATAACTGCTTCATATACATGTAAACATATTTTTTTTGTTGCATGCCATGCTATGTTCTGATAAATTCTGTTCTATGCTCACAGAAGAATTTCCATATTTCATTCCCAATGTCCCCTGCCTAACAAATATAACCTTGACCTTGAGTTTTGAGAGTTTCTGATCAGAGCAAATCTGAATCACAAACAATAGTATGTAATGTTTCTCTGTTTCTAAGTTAACTTTCACTCAAATTTTTAACTTTAAGGAGACAAAACACCAAACCAACATATACGTCCCTGAAGAATTATGATAATTCTGAAAAGTTAAAAAGATTTAGTATTTATTATCACATATACCCTCAAAGAATTTCAATGAATTCAAAATTTTGTTATTTATAGAATTAAACTTAAGTGAAAAGTTTTTTCCCAGCAGGGCTTGGTTCCAAGGGGTAAAGCAAAATGTGATTAAATATTACTAAAATAATACCATTAATGAGAAACATTAGTCTATTGTAGGCATGAAAGAGAGACTTAATGTCTATGGAATTCTAATTTTCCAATACTGAAATAATTAATGAATAGCATAGTTATGCAAACAGGTTGCTTCCTAAATTAGTAGGGGGTGACAAAAATACTAGTAAAGAATAAAGATCTGCAAACTGTGAAGAATTTTATACAGATCATTGTTTCATATCATACTTGGCCTTATGTAAAGGAAATATTTATAAAACTACAATAGCAAAATTAAAATCTGTTTGCTAAATATGAACAGATTCAAACGTATAGTGGTTATCCCAAAACTTACAGCAATCACCCACAGACAACTGCAGAAGAATCTCCTTGTGATATTTGATTGACTTTTGGCACAAGGTTTATAATTCTCCATACAAATTTCTTTTGTTTATTAGAATTTCCAGAATAAGAGATATTTTTGAAAAACTTATCAAATTTTACACACATCTTCATCTTCTTATTCTCCCATTAGGCTCTACCACCAGACATAGGGACCTGAATTTCACAATTTTGGTAGAAGACACATATGGCTGTCCCAGTTAATCAAAAAGTTGTTAATGTGAGCTGCACAGTTCAAACACCAATAGTTCAGTTTATTGTGTTTCCCTGATTTTGGTTTTGTTTAGATTTTAGAATATCCTGGTAAGAGAGTTGGCTCTCTAGATATTATTGGAATAACTCACTCCCAAGGATATAAATATTAATATTATTCCAAGACTAAATAACTATTTGTTTCAAAAACAGACCTAATTTCCAAAAAGGTTTGTAAAAATCATTTCAGCATGCTAAAAATGTTTTGTAGATTAAATCAAATGAATTCTGCTGATGTTCTAAAGGAAAAAAACACTAAGGCAGCTTGTATTACTCATCAGAAGTCTTGCCTAATAGTTTGTATAAGTAGTTTTCAGAATAATGTTGACACTTCAAAAGGAGTTCAAAACAGTTAAAAAAAAAAAAAAGACTCAACTCTATTTCATTATGACATTTGAAAAATTCATTTAAATTCAACATGTGTAACAAGGCAGGAAATATGTTTTTTTTTACCTTGCATAAAAGCACTAGAATAATGTAGAAAATAAACAGAAAAGAGAAATTAGTCACTTGGTGCTTGTTGACAAGGTCTCATTGAGCCAGACCACCAAAGAAGATGGAGCGTAAACATCAAAGTGAACGTTAAAGTATGAAATAAGAAATGAGCTGAATAGCAATTTTTTTTGTACTTTATGAGGTGTACAGAAGTGTGGAGGTCTAGTTAACACTGATGAGTTGTTGTATGGTAGGAAACTTGAACACATTCAATCATTTCAAATGGTAAACTTATACATCATTTTAAATAAAACCATAATTGTAACACCTAAACTATTAAGCAGCTGATTTATTTGGGCTAACCCTGCTGACATTTGATGTTTAGTGTTTAGACAGGTGTGTATAGGTGAGTTACCTGCAGGTCCTCCTGAGCTGTCACCAGGTATTCCTTCAGCATCATCTCCTGCTGCTCCCGCCATTGTTGTCTGGGATCTTCAAGCTGATTGGATTCTGAACAAATTAAAAAAAACTTTCATTGGGTGTACAACTAACAAAATATATCATTTGGAGTATAGTTAACAAACTTCTCTGTAACTGGGTGTACAGTTAACAAAATACTCGGTCACTGAGTGTACGGTTAACAAAATACTCTGTCACTGAGTGTACAGTTAACAAAATCCTACGACATTGGGTGTACAACTAACAAAATATACCATTTGTAATACAGTTAACAAAATACTATGTCATTGGGTGTACAGTTGACAAAATACTATGTCATTGGGTGTACAGTTAATTATGTACTCTGTCATTGGCTGTACAGTTAACAAAGTACTATGTCATTGGGTATACACTTCACAAAATACTATGTAATTGGGTGTACAGTTAACAAAGTACTCTGTCATTGGGTGTAAAGTTAACAAAGTACTGTGTTGTTGGGCTCAGTGTCCAGGCTGGTAAAATATGAAGTCCACTATGATAAGTACACAGTAATATCTACTACCCACATTGAAGACAGTTTGATAGTTATGACCTCAATCATACAATGTGAATGGTGAAATTCAGAATACTTAGTAAGTACAAATAATTATAAGATACCCCATGTCAACCCATTGCAGAATCTTTAATATTACAGTTAAAAAATCTTAGATCAATCCCCTGAAGGTCTAATGCATAATGCACTGAATTTTTTCCAACCAGCCAGAAACACATCTAAGACTAGATATTCAACAAATGACAGGAATTTCAAATAAAAAGATAAGTTATTGGTGTTTATAGATTGGAAGCTGCTCAATCTGATGGTAAACAGCCGGGGAGATTTCTCTGGTGTAAGCGAGTGCAGAAAAAAGTGCAGCATAAACTGCTGACTCTCTGACTTCTCATGTCATCACAACCACACTACAGCAGCGGTTCTCTGGCAACTGATTCTAGCCAGCCCCTCTATCATAAACACTATCTCAATAAGTATCACTAAATGTTGGATACTTCAATGAACCCCACTATAGTCATTTTGTCATTAATCTATAAAAGAATGTAGAACATGCAATGCATATTAAATGCAGCCTCTTTAGTTTCTAAGCTATAAAACATTTATCAAATATTTTGATTGTATCAGTGATCAGTAAAATATGATATGTATGCAGTGAAGGCTGTCCATCATTTTATTATATCTGACAAACTGCTACCCTGTCTATAACCACTGGCCTGATCCTCACGCATCTTTGTAATAGAACATGTAGCACACATATTTTAATCATCTCTGATTGCCACCTAGACATGTATAGCGCACTATAAACCTGGTGTAAATGGGAGAAGGATGGATGTTTAATTAATGCTACCATCTGCATTTTATCAAAGTAATACTGAAAAGCATGTATTCAAAACCAAACACTTAAGAAAAATTCACAGCCTTGAAATAAACTGATGATGCTAATCAAAACTTATAATGGACAGTCCCCATAATGTCACTATAAATAAAAGTCAGACAAAACATTTTTCTGTTGGAAAATTGAACATTTAATTTATAAGTACCAAATTTATGAATAAACAGATTTCAGCATAAATAACATGAATTATGCTAATAATTAGTCAACATAAACCAATCCTTGTGTTTTCTATTAAAAAAAAAAAATAAAAGTGACATTACACTATCCAGCTAAATTTGAAGACCTTATTTATGAAAACTGGGACTTCACAGCAAGAACGTTTCTAAATATTTCCATATCCAATAAAAGTTCCTGGGCAAAGGTACTCTTCACCATTGGGACAAACTTCACTCAATTTAATTTAACATCTATATATAGTACATCTACACCATTTACATGATTAACAGCCTCCAGGTTTTAAAAATATCTATTTCTGGGTCTCATTATATGGATCAACATTTTAAATTTACAATATTTGCAAGTCAATTAACATGCGACTAATTGCAAGTAAAAAAGCAGGTCATGTACACAAAAATTAGATATAATACTTTTTTGCATATAATACTTTCTTCCTTTGTTTTGGTGATACTTACGTTCGTTGTGGTTGATGAAATAGACACCTATTTGTTGGTCCACACATTCCTCCCACCCGTAGGGGAGCTCATCCCCCACACAATCCGCAAACGTCTGGGGTTTAGTATACCTGTAAAAGATTGCAATTCAATGATCAATGATCATTCAGAGTGAAAATACAATCCCATATATACGAAAAGGAATTACAAAATATTAAAACAAATATCTCACAGTGTTTATATAACTAGTTGTGCATATTATGGTACCATGATTGTTGCCAATAGCTTTTTCAAAAACTTTTCACATAAAAATTACCTAGTACATATTCTTCCACAATTTTTACAGAACGCAATCCCCCCCCCCCTTTTTTTTTAATCAGAATGCTATTAATGAAGAAAATATGCCTGAATTTCACAATGTTTTAAAGATTCAACTTATGATCCAAATTATTTCAAACCAGGGTTATATTTCACGAATTTCCATTACATTTGCAAATCACAACCATCCATTGTTGTCAGTAAAATATGTAACCTAATGCCATACAAATATATTTTTTTTAATGAGTTGCACGTTGTTTTATTTATTTATCAATATTTTAACAATATTCTAGATTTCTTTTTTGCTATCTGTCGGTCAATTTCAACAAGCTCTACTTTAACATTGTTCATAATTTATTTTATGTCCAGGGGCATTTTTGTATTGGTGTGCATTAGATTTTGACAGAGAACCTCTGTTTGTGCTGTTAAACTTTTCTCTATACTATGCAATCAATCTTTGACATACTTGGAATTCTTCACAGTTAACACATTGATCTTGCCAATAATTTGAGATAAAGGACCAGTGAATTGAGTTGTAATGCCATAAACAATAATTCACTGACCACCATTGTTAATGTCACATGGAGTCATACAAGTTCTTTACATTCTATCCAAATATTGACACTTGAATCTTTTGAACAATTTAAAGCAAATATCTTTCAATGTACTAAAGTAAACTGTACATGTATTTTACAGCAGTGTAAATAGACATATTAATGTGTGAAGTTCTTTTTATTCATTTTTTCCTCCTTTCCGATCACTGACATAGTACATTTCCAATAAAAGATGTTTATTCAATTAATCATATCTGGGGTTTAAGCTATCCTTTAATTTCTTGCATTCCTGATTAAAGTGCAAACACACATCATAAAGCCATTCAAAAAATAACTATTCAACATATTTGTGGTAAAATAAAAGAGCGTACAAAAAAAAAATAATGCCAACTTCTACAATCAATTCAAAAATAATCATTGGACTTGTAGACCCTGTCATTACATTAACATCCCACTTGGAGCTTTTAAAAGAAAAGCTCTGCATGTGTAATATGGAGCTTTATTGCAATTAGCATCTTTCTACGTACAACTACTTGCTCAATATTTATAAAGACATGAATATCGCCTCATTTCATAACAAATCTTGATGATGCAGACTTTTTATGCTTCATAACAAACTGAAAATCTGAATCTAATGAAAAAGACATCACTTCTTTTATGAAAATTAAATCATAAAAATGCTTTGGAATTAAATCTCTTTCATCACTTCCTAAAATTCCACTTGTTTTAAAACCACTCAAGCTGAACATCATAAACAATCTAAAGAAAATCTCAGGCACTGTTCTAAATCCAGGTTTTCTTTGTTACACACATTTAATACTCTGATGTGCTCCTGGCAAGGATTAAAGACACTCAGTTCAGAATTAAACACATCATGTACACCAGAACACAGGAAATTCAGTATAAATAAATACAAATAAAGTATCTATCACACTTAAGTAATACATTTATCGCACTTGCATGAAGTATGCATTCTTTTTAAAAGATAATTGACACTCCCTGGCAAAACATACCAAGAAAATTTTACTAGACAAGTAAATGACTGAGTGTCAAATCTATTTCATTGACAATCAAGTTGACAATGTAAAATATTTCTCGTTGTATTAAACACAAAATTTATCAAAAGTTATAATTAGAAATGAAACTGTGTATATCAAACATTCTCCATGCCCCCTCCCTCCCCCACTAGTGGCCATAAAATTTATTTATATAGCTTAATTGTACTTTGACCTTTTTTATGCTTATCGAGTCTTAAGATTTATTTATTGCATTGCAATTCATTTCATCCCATCTTTTTTAATAAGTGAATGCATAATTGAAAATTTATTAAAAACAAACAAAAATAAATGAACAAAAACAAAAAATGTCAAATCTAATTTTCACTTTTTCCATCAAACTTGTTTAACGTGTGTTGTCTTTGATAATGTGCAGACAGCCTTCCTACTTGATACTGAAAACAAAAACATCCTCAGATCCATGCTAATTAATACAATTTTTTTTTTTAATTTTAAATTCTAAATTATAATAATTAGGGTGCAAATAGTGACCTTTGACTTGATCAAATTCATTATGATAATCAGAATCAAAATCAACAAATTACATACTTCTTTCTAGTTCACACCAGCTTTGAATTTTTCATATTCAATTCTTTTTTTAATTTTGAAAATATAATTTACGCCAGAGTAAAATCACTTGTTCAATTTCCAAGCAAAACACATTTTCACTCTTACCAGACAAAGAAAAATATTGAAGTTTTCACATCAAACCCACTTATACCTGTAATGCGTCCTTGATTAAACTTTAATATGGATGTATCAGACTGAGTATGGAATGCAGCATAAATTATGTCTTAACCAGTTTCTCGACTGGATATAAAATTTGAATAGACATACTAATGAAACTATCTTTACATGGTACATCCAAATTTTATTGTAGATACAGTTCTAGATCATTTTGTAACATCATGTATTTTCATTTTAGTTTCCTATTAAGACTCTTAAAGTTATAATTTGAATATAGAGGCGAGAATTACTCTGCCTAAATACAATATCATGCCAGTTGGACCAGTAACAGCACACAACTGCTGTCAACATGTCACTTACAAGTTGCTGATGGTAATAAAAATGTTAAAGTAAGAATAAAAAGCCTGGTATTCAAAGGAACGAAAACATTTTCTTAGTTGATACAAGGTGTCTTTGTCCTGGTCAACACATAATCCCAATAAATAGGTTAATGTATCTATTAACATAGATGTATATTATTCATACAACTTATACTTAAGTGAGACATTCATCAAAACAATGCAATTCGAAATATGCAGGTAAGGACTTACTTCCCTTGTCGGAACGCAATTTCTTCGTCAATACACACTGCATATTTGAGATTGAAGGTGCAATTACAACTCTCTCAAAATATTAAACAATTCCAAATCATACAAACACGCAACAATGCCACTTAAAAAGAAACCATTTGTAGAAAACAAGATAAAACAAAATACAAGGTGCTTCGACATGGGAAACGCCAGGAATAGCTCACCTGTCCCGCGGGTCAATCCAAGTTGTTCGATGGGTAGTATGGTCTATAAAGAACTTTTTTCCATCGTAATCAAAACATTCCTCCCAGCCTTCGGGAAGGGGTAGTTCCCCCTTTCCTCTCTTTGGCATATCAACCCAGTGTTTTGCTTTGCACAATCCATAGACTTGCACGTCTAAATCCTAAGCGAACCACCATTTTCTTTTGGCAATTAGCATATGTGACGTCATCCATTTGTCATGCCTTAGCCAATCAGAATCGTATTGGAATCCCGCGAATACTCGATACACAAAATATTTTCAATTTTTGTAAACAACACTAAAGTTGGAACAACATAATGATAAATAAACAGCCAAACACGTCAAAAAACAGAGATTTTTTCAGTTTTATTTTTATCATTATTTTTAAAAATAAATTATAAACATCAGGGACCTTTATACTTAGTATATATAGGGCCCTGAAACAATATGTATATGAAAAACTTTTATTTAGCAAAAAAAAAATTAAGGTTTACTCGAATACTTTTAGTACACAAGTTCATGTTTAACAACGTTTCAGTAATGATATAAAGGTCGAGGGAACCCATAGGAAGGATAACAAATTAATGTTTTCCATGTTACAATGATAACGTATGGGCCGGACCCTTGTCAAAATGTCAAAGAATATTTTCATTTTAACCCCCCCCCCAAAAAAAAACACACTAAGAATAGTGCCAACTTCTCAACTGAATAAACGACAGCCTGGTCTAAAAATATATAACTATACCGTCCACCTGTCTGTCTGTTTGGCTGTTAATCATAATTAAATCTGTTTGTCTGTAAAAACTTAAACCTTGCTCATAAATTTTGATTATAGTTAATTGGATATATATATATATATCAGTGACTTTAATATTTCACAGTCTTTTCCTTGTTACAAGAGCTTTCTTTAGAATGAATATATTTGACCTTGACCTTGAAGCTTGGCCCAATTTCGCAAAAAATTATCGAATTTTAACCCCGAATTTAGCTTTTGTCTTTTGATTGTACGTTTGGTGAAAAAGCTTTCATACTTCAAATGTGCATTCACTGTGACAAGAACTTTCCTCGGGCATAAATATTAAAGTATACCTTTGAACCATGACCTTGGAGTTTGACCAACTTTTTTGAAAACATCAACCCTGGCCTAGTTGCAATAATAAAAGTAGCCCCCCCCCTCTCCTCTGAAAATATCAGTTTAAAAAATCGGAGAGGGCCAAATTATGCAGCTAATCTTGTCCATGACTTTTGAATGGTTTGTTCTTGGTTGGTTTTCATATTTCACAGATCTATATATTCCTTTCTTTGGAACGCAACATTTTTGTCTTGACCTTGGAGTCTTGCATCTGAGAAACTTAACTCTTCATCAAAAGCTGCCATTAAGAAGGAGACATCAATGTTTCACAAGCACACTTTGTTAATCTGAAAATTTCATGAACAACACACATTATAAAACAGCCAGAGTTACCTCCTCCCTCTGATTTGTTCTTTTACGGTGGGTGCGAGTGTACGTCCTAGTTATGTTGGTTGAGTTTTTATGAAAATTCTAGATTTAGGCTTTAATATTTTTAATAAAAAGCAGAGACATAAACAATTATTTATGTCTCCGTTGAAAATGATTGAACTTTGAAATATTACATGTTATGAAAGAATTTGTGTTATCATAAATAAAAAAACGTTCTGGAGGACATGCAGGCGGCGTTATAATGACAATTTCATTTCATAATTTTAAATTTTACCCTCTTGTTGCCCAGTTATCTCGACTTTTTGAAAACGACGCTTTGGCATAATCATGAAAAAAAAACTCAAACTATTTGCAATCAAAGTCTTGGAGACTTATGTCCAGAACACGATTTTTTGACAGTGTGCGTTTGAAACCTTAAAAGAAGGAACATACTTTTATGAACGAACAATTTCTAAATCGAAGGGACTACTGACAAAGAAGTAGATAATACAAAGTCAACATTTGGAAAATTTATGATCTTTAGAGATTTATGTCCAAAACACGATTTTTTGACAAACACGCATTTGAACATTAAAACAAGGAACTTGGTTCTACGGACGAACAATATCTTAAAAGTAGTCGATAATACAAGGATGGTTGCAACCTCTTTCAAAGTCAACATTTGGCAAATGTTATGATCGATGAAAGGACTTTATAAACAAGTACAATTCATGTATATTGTTAGGCCGTATATTGACTGCTGTCTTGTCTTTCAAACGAATGGTTAGGTTATTTTCACAATGAATTTGTCTATGAATATTTCTGCTTACCCGATATGACAATGGACAGAAGGCGGGTGTGACCGGTCATCAGAAGAACTCACTCCTCCATGGTACCTGGCTTCGGTACCAAAAAAACTTAGACGAGCTCACTTTTGATCTCAGTCTTCCTTTTACATGAGAATATATGCAATGTGAAAAGTGAGACTGAGATCAAAAGTAAGCTCGTCTAAGTTTTATGAACCCGGGGCCAGATCCCGCCTACCGGGTATGTTTAATGCCATTTGGTTCAGATCAAGATTTACCATAATGTCACCGGGTTCACAGATGTGTGAAAGTCAGTCAATTATATCGTGTCTCAATAGCTCAGTGGCCAGAGCACTGACACTGTACGTCAACGGCCCTGGGTTCGAGTCCCAGCTGAGACTTGAATTTTCACCGCATGTGACATTTGGTCCCAACGTGGGCGCCATATATCACAGGGTCATCGTTAAAGAAAACGCTGGATTCGGTTTTATGAGTTTTTAATTAGGATATCAAAAAGAAACATAGAAAACACGAATCATAATTAATGTGACTTTGCAAGTGAAGGTCTAAAGGATCGATGGGAAATTGATGAAATGTACAATAAAACTGCTAAAAAAGTATGAAAAATGAAATAATATCACGTAATGCATTGGTAAAATATTTATTTCTTATCTGTAAGTGGTGATGGCCTGTGGGGGAGTGGGGGGGTGGGGGTTAACAAAATGCGTCGAAGCAGGTAGAGTTAAAAAAAATCAGTGTAAATGTTCCATCAGAAAAGTCAATTATTGAAAAAAAATACTACATACATGTATTTCTAACTTATTTACTGTGTCAATATATCGATACATATCGATATTCAAGATTCATATCGTATCGAAAAATAACTTCCAATACGTATCGGATATACAGTATCCTTTCTAATTCTTTTAAAAAGATGGGAATTTCAATCACCAAAGATTATTTTTCACTTTTTTGAATTAAAACTGATCAGTAATTATATAGTTTCATTAGTTTGTAAGGAAATAACACATTTTTTTTTATAATTATTACAAAGTACAAAGAAAATTTTATTTTAACATGTTGATTTTACAGTCATTAAAAGTTTTAATTTGAAGAGTTATTTGTAATGACAATGAGACAAGAACTTTGAAATGGGTAATAAAACACTTAATTGTTATGAAATTCGTGCATTAAAATGATTTATAAGCCTTTTTTGATGGACTTGTTTTAGAATCCACTATATAGCATATCGTGTCGGATCGAAATTTTTGGCTCAATACACAGCCCTATTATTTACCCTGACATTTTTCTTGTCAAAATTTTAAGAAAGGCTTTCTTTTCTAAATGTATTATTAACAAAAGTTTCATCTGACAAAGACTTTCTTCAGAATTGTCTATATTAAAGGACAAGACAAACTTGACAAAAATGACTGTATGGAAAAGAAAGTGATACATTTGTTGTATCAAAAAAAATATTTATGACGTACTAATTTCAGTAAATTTACTATCAAGTCTTCAGATTTTAATAGATATTGATTTAGAATTTCCAAACACATATTACGGTTCGATTTTAGTGTATATTTCTGTCTAAAAATCATTTCGAGAACAGTCTAGCTGTTCTCTTAGACTTTTACTGTGACATGAAAATAAAGATGTAGGCCTAAAGAATAGCTTTTATTATCTAATTTTTATGAGAAAATTCACAAGACATTTCGGATATATGCCTCGCCCTCATGATTTAATTTTTTTTGTCGGCCGATCATTTTTTTTTTTCAGACACGCGAAAGAAGATTGTACGATTTAGTTAAATCACCAAACCGGAAGTGCAATCCAAAATTGAAAAAAAGGAGCAAAGCTGAAACGTTCAAATGTCGCGTCGAAGAACTGTTAGTAGACTATAAGAAAATGTGTTGAAGTTGATCCACAAGACCTAAAAAGATGGAGAGCATCGGAGAAGAAAGGGAGCAGATCGAAGAGGATATTGAGCGTCTTAATCTTGCCTTGCAAGTTGAGGGTTCTGAAGTAGAACTGCAAGATGAAGACGATGAAGACGTGCTTTGTATTAATGAAGATAGCATTGAGCAGGAGAGAGAGAGAGAGAGAGAGAGGAAGAGAGAGAGAGAGAGAGAGAGAGAGAGAGAGAGAGAGAGAATAAAAATAGATAACTTTTATAAATGAATGACTGAATGAAGGAAAAGAAATTGCTAAAAGAAAAGACCTGTATTGATGATTGATTACTGTATATAGATAGTTTTCGATAGGCCAGATTTTAGCAAGAGTTATTTCCCGTTGGTCGCCATATTGGAGGTCCAAATGCTCATATTCCTTCATTGTTCAACCAATTTAAAATTTTTATATTTGCTATTTTGAATTAAAAATCATTATTTTTTTTAAGTATATAAATTTTAGGAAACCCCATTTATTTAAAGAAAATTATTTGATAAAAATTTTCCACCAAATATTTCTGCTATATTTTCTTAAACTTGATAAGACAAAGAGGGAAAATCAATGAGTCGACCTCCAATATGGCGACCAACGGGAGGTAACTTTCGCTAAATTCAGGCCTATCGAAAACTATCTATTCCTAATTATATGTGAGGAATTAATTATCGCCTAATTTCAGAGAAGCATCACTTGTGAAATAAAATTTCTTGCTTTTATTTCTGTGGTGCTGAAATCTATGTTAATTTTCTTGATCAATAGTCCATTTGCTAATTATAATTCTGGCAATTGGATGTGAAAGAGCCATTTTGCAATATTAAGTACTCAAGGAAAATATGGAATCTACAGTTTATGTTGTTTTACCAAAGGAAAATAGCTTATTTAAATTGCATCTATCAAAATCTATCTATTAAGTATTATGTCAAATAAGTATTCAAATGTTAAATGCTTACTCCATGTTTTCTGTCAACTTGTAAAAGCCTCCTTCTGATTGGTGATTTTCTTCATACTTCTAGGTACCCAGTGAAATAGATCAATTTTCAGGGATGTCTGAAATTAGCCATTTACCCATTAATGCAGAAACATGTCTAGCACTCAACAGAACATATCAAGAACTCATTCTTGAATCATTGAAAAAAATTGAATTGGCACTGAATGAAAACAGGGAAAAACAGGTGGGTTAACATTTTTCTAGTTTGAAAAAAAGGAACATTCTTTGAATATATTGTGATTTTTTCTTACACATTAATTATTATCTTTGATGACCAGACTTTTACGGGGCTTGAAGAGAGTTTGTTTGCAAGTGAATTTCCATATACATGAATGTTTTCAAGGCATACTGTTTCTTGGACAAGTCTTACTTTATCCACCTCTTAAGTTTCCATTTAATTAATTAACAAAGAGGTGTTCTGTTTATCTAAATCTCACATTCTTCCAAGTTACTGTAAACTTGGAAATATTGATATTTGGAATGTTTTTTTTTTTTTTTAAATATCTACTGACATGCATTTTATTATACAGTGTTATGGCATTATAAATTTGAAATTTCAAACATAGATATATCTTTCTGAGAAAAAATATTTGGACCATGACCTTTCAGGTAATGCTAACTTCACATTTTATTTTTTGTTTATATTTTGACATTTTGGAAATTATGAAAATCATTTTAACTTTATCACAGTTTTATGACCTTGAACTTTCCTGAAATTCTATATACAAATCATAATTACCATTGTCCTTAAAGAAGTTTTCAAGTTCAGTGGATATATATAGAATTTAGGTCTGTTTCTTCCTAGATTTACTGGTTGTGTGGAGATCTTGTATTTTGCATGTACAGTATTTAAAGGTTTTCTACATGCCTGGTGGTTGATGTAAGATTTTATTTCTAACTGTGAAATTTCTGTTTTAGAGAGTATTAGAAGAAGGACTGGAAGTGAAATCTGCTGGGGGCTCCAAAAGTACAGAAAAACAAGGAAATAAAAGGAAATGTTCCACCATGTTTTGTAAACCATATTTTAAAGACAAGGATCAGAAGGTATCTTAAATAAAAATACAATTAGATCACACTTATCTTAATAAAGACAAACAAAATTGATATTTTTCCCCTATAATATGCTTTTAAAGATCTTATATGATTTCTTTTTTTCAAGTGTGCACTCCCTGCTTACATTCATTCAGCCAAGTACTGTGGTCACATTGACATTTGAATTTTAATAGAGAGTGGAGACCTTGCAAATTGTACTGCATCAAAACCTGATCCACAGAGAATACAGTTAAACTTGTCTAATCCAGTCACCCCGGGTTCCAAACAAAATGGCCGGATTATGCAACATTTCAGTTTAGACAACACGTAATGAATTTGTTAATTTGTACTTGACCCCCTTTCCCACAATTTTAGGAATTGTCAGAAATTAAAATAATTATAATACTTAAGGAGGGGGAGTGGGTGGTGGTGAGTGGTTGGTGGGTCTAAGTAGAATTAGTTAAGTTAAATGAAACAAAACAGTTTTGTTTTGCAGGTCTGAATCTGTCATGGTCAGTTCTAATAATTTAGATTTTATTTTTATCTGGATTGCAGGTGCCCCCTCCTAATACAGATGTTCAGATGAAAAAAATGACACAAGAACACAAACAAGATATAACACCACCTCTGCCATGTAAGTGATTGCCAACATTTGTCTCAGAAGAAGGATTCTTTTTAAAATTACATTTTTTTAAATCATATTCTCTCTTATACAAATTTTGATTTGTAATTTGCAGAGAACTGCTGAAGTATTAATTATAAGCTGTAATTTGTAGGGAGTGTTATTAATTAGAAGCTATAATATTGTAGGGGGTGTTACTAATTTTATGCTCTAATATTGTAGGGAGTGTTGGTCAAAGGTGTAAACTGCAGGAAGCGGTGAAGGAGGAAGCCCTGAAACAAAAGCTTGTCCCCATCATGAACAGGTAAATGTAGACAGTTATCAGGCATGGATCCAGGATTTTTTTTTGTTCATTTAAAAAGTCTGCAAATTCAAGGGAGAGGGGACCAAACCCCACCCCTTTAGATCTGAGCATGGATGTCTTCTCTTTGTCACCAGTAGGAACAGATAAATTTATGTAGACATTCTTGACTCTTCTCCCAGTCATAAACAGGTAAGTGTAAGTATTTAGATCTTGATTTGTACCCATCATGAACAGGTTAGTATAAGTAGGCACACGTGTAGTGTTGACTCCAGTCTTTGACAAGTAAAGGTCGACAAATGTTGATTATTGTTTTAACTATGAACAGTTTATAGTAGATAGGACTTCAATTTTACAACAAATTTACTTTAAAAGAATGAAAACTATGAGCTTGAAAATAGTAATATGCAAGTTTTGAGATTGTAACTCTCCTACGAGAGAGGCGTAAAAAGTATCTATATCAGTATGGAAGTGGGACAGGTTGGTAGTGTATACATATATGCATAAATAAATGAACGATGTTTACAGCTTTTAAAATTCATTTAATGTTATAGAAAGATAATAATGATAAGCTGTGATGCATTTGATGATTTTATCAAGCTCAACTATACAAATCTATTTTCAATTAGGATACTGTAAAACAAAAGAACTATCATAGTCTTTATAAAAAGTAAAAGATTTCCTTGATTGAACAATCTGTTTCTAAAAATGTAATTGGCTTTTTGAAGTAATAATATAGGAAAGAATCAGTGAGCCATTTAGATTGCCGACATGCAATGATCAGATGCATTTGTACTGTATTTATTAGAGGTCCATATATCTTCCCTCGTCTGAAAAGTCTTACATCCACTGATATTTTTTTTTGGTTCCAATTTATTTAAAAAAAAAAAAATGTCAGACACATTTACATTAATTTGGTTATTCTCAAGTTTAAGAGTGCATCCCAACAAGCATGTAGTTATATTAAACCAGTATATCGATGATGCAATATATCCAATATAGAAATATCTGTCCCACTTGTCTGTTTAGGCGGCATCGAAACTCCCCTCCTCAAAACACACCAAGAGAGTTAATCTCGAAACCTGTGTATTGGGGGAAAAAAAATAAATGAAAAATGCAAAAAACTTTAAATAAATCTTTGATCTGAAGACAAAAAAGGTCAATAAACGTTATTTTTTTTAAAATGAAAATAATGGGGAGCAGTTATAGAACATGGGTACCTATTGGTGCTTGTTTGATATTCACCATGTAAGTTTCATGGCTGTCTCAGGAAGAGGTGTCCTCTGTAAAATCAAACAGTTGTCATTCCACTTCTTTCTTTATGTTGACATATACTGAAGAGAAAGCCTTTTCTGTTGCTGGATGATTTTCTGAACTACAATCTGTCTTTCCTATCCCAAGGAACTGAAAACTAAATGTAATGTTCAGAAAATTTCATGCAGCCCACAGAAATTTATGTGTGTTTCATTAATTTTATGCATATAATATATGGTGTATATTTTATTTTCAATTAGAAAAGAAGTTTATGTTGAAAAAGTCAAGAATCTGGAATCCGAGCTGGTGAAAATAAACATAGATAAGTCAGAGGTGGAAGCTGAAGGGGAAGATGGGTCCAATTTGATTGAACTGAATGAACTACATGAGAGAGGGTAAATATACAGTCAGCTGATTCAGTTCTTATAAAATGACCTGAATCTCTATGGTGACCTATTGCTCTCTGTTTTTGTCTTGTCATCGTGCAACTGTTGTAAAGTTTTGATTATTTTTAGCTTTCTCTCTAGAACCACTAAATCATTTTCAACCAATATTTTGTATAACATGTATAAAGGGGAACAAAAATTGTAAATTTTATGGTTCCTGCCCCCAGGGGTCTAAAATGCCAAATTTTACACTCATCAAGAAAACCCGCTATATGGTATGTTATGAAGCTGTTTTCTTTTAAATGGTGAAGGTCCATAATTATAAATTGTCTTTGTGTAAATACAGTCAATTCTCGAATTATCGCCATTCGATTCATCGCCATTTTCGCAATACCGCCATGATTTCCCAAGAACGTTTTTCCTGCTATATAAAATTCTCTTTATAACGCCAAATTCGCATACCGCCATCCGCCACCCTGTTTTCACAACAAACATCCATTTTTAAGTGTCAATTATCTCGATAATACCGCCACAGGTGCATATGGTCAGTGAAGCTAATTGGTTGACGCTATCCCTGTTGTAAAGCATGCAAAGCCAGTCAAGGTACATGCAATTAACATGATTAAGTAAACAATAATTTTAACATGAACTGTTAGAATAATTTTGTTTTCTGTTTAATAAAATCATATAATCAAGGCTTACCCACGAAAGCGGTCGTTGTAAAGTTTGCCGATAACGATATTATATTGATGATCTCTGCTTTTAAAAACAATGCAAAGTTTGCTTTAAAAATAACTGTAAGTCAGAAATTGTGAACGTTTCATTAACAATGAATTTATTCAAGAACTTATTTTACGTACTATAGGCAATATATCACGACGATCGACCACGCATTTTTTTCAATATCAGACGTGCAGATTTACATGCATACATATGTACTTTTCTTAATTTCATAACTGAATATTTTGTTTTAGTGAAATTGTACATAAAAAAATTACTTGAAGTATTTTCAATATTAGAAATATGTTTATAAATACATGTACATGTAATAATAAGAATAGAAACGCTAAATGGTATTTCTAAGAACGATAACTGTACGTCTTATTTCCTAAAAGATGGAAAATTCAATTCATCGCCAAATTCGTTATACCGCCATGATTTCTAAATCACAAAAGGTGGCGGTTTATCGAGAATTAACTGTATGAATAAATGATGTATTATTAAGGAAAGCCCAAACTTAAAAAAATCAACACATAAATATTGACTGATTTGATTTACTTTTCATTTTTGCATTATAGACAGAAAATGGAACAAGAGCTTGCAGAATGGCAGGAGAAGATAGAGCAGCTAGACAAAGACATGGAGAAAGATAAGAGTCAGAAGCTACTCTGTAACAGCTAGAAGAGACATGGAGAAAGTCAAGTAAGAGTCAGTAACAGCTAGACAAAGACATGGAGAAAGTCAAGTAAGAGTCAGAAGTGGGGGTCATAATCTGTAACAGCTAGATAGAGACATAGAGAAAAACCAAGTAAGAGTCAAGAGTGGGGTATGATCTGTAACGGTAGAGTCAGCAACAGGGATCTGAAATGGCTAGACAGAGACATGGAGAAATATTTAAGTCATTGATAAGTAAAAGTTAGAAGAAAAGGAGAGAAGGTGGGGGATTCAAAAATTGTACAGAGACAAAAAGAAAATCTGGAAGAGTCAGTGTAAAGTGAGGAAGAGGGTGACGTTATAACGTAATAGCTGGGTAGGGAAATGAAAAATTGTTTGTTTACCTTCTCCTGACTGACTAGCTAAAAATTAACCTATTTGACCAATATCAAGGTCAGACATGAGTAGACATGGGTAAGTTTAGGTTCAAGTAAGGTACTCTTCAATAGGAATAATGCACCTCTGGTAACATTGATTTTTACAAGGTTGTCTTATTAGATTATAATTACTTTACAGAGAGACATCAGAAATTGAGCTGCTGTTCAGTGTTGATAGTGAGAAGGTGGACTGGCTAATGATTGCCAACTTCATTGTAAGTATTATTACATAAGTTGAATGATCTGTATTGGAACCAGAAGGAGATGGGAACAAAGTTGTCTCTGTTCCTTTTTTTATACATTTACATGTCTTTTCGTTTGAAATTGCTTACAATGTATATTGAAGTAATATATCATATTAACTATTAAAGCAGGACTATGGTCATTGGAACTGATTTAGTTTATACTGAAATCCTAAATGAATAAAAACTTGGGAACTTTATTCCATTCATCATTCATTTATGCCTTTACAAAGTTTGGTGGTAAGCGAGAGGAGAAGGAGTGTGAGATCATGTGGAACAATGTACTGCACCCCTCCATTAACAAGGAGAAATGGTCCACCCAGGAGACCAAACATCTCCAGGAACTGGCCAATAAATACAGTATGAGGAACTGGCCTGCCATCGCACAGGAACTAGGGGTATTTGGAATCTCATTTTTCTGCCATCTTATTGTTATTTAAGGTTGATTTCCAGCAGATAAAGGCATTAATATGTTAAATATGTGTATATACTATGTATTATGAATGAATGGGATCAAAATGCATTGAAAAGTTGAGTATTCCAAAGCAAAACATGTGTAATTGCATCAAGTTTGACATTGTATTACGTACAAGACTGAATGTGAGATAGGCTGGCAAAAGTCTTAATCTCTAGTAATATAAACATTCTTGTAGAATTTTATCTATATTGACATTTTCCTAAATTTCAGACAGGAAGAACTCCCTTTCAATGTCTGCAGTTCTACCAGCACAGTCTCAATGATGCCTACCACAACAGGTGAGCCCCATGCTTTATAAGTATCTCTTATTTAACACAGTAACATTTAAACTGAAATTTAGAGCCCGTTTGGTTGCCCAGCAGGTGCTTTGTTAATCATGGTATTACAACAATGTTATCTACTATAGGCCCTGGTCAGAGGAGGAAGATGAAATGTTAAAGGAAGTCGTGGACAGTGTCAGGGTTGGAAACAAAATCTCTTTTGCTCAAGGTACATATACAAAGGTCAAACACAGAAGTAAAATCAAGAGAAAGGGATAAATCAGATAATGTCATCAGTAAATTACCAAATACCGTATCTTTTACACTGAAAGCACAAACGTTGCATTTTTAAAAAGTAAAAGTTGCTTCATTTTCTCTCTACCAAGTTGTTGAAATAAGGTGAATTAAGTTTGCATCTCTATAAATAGTGTCCTACTTCATGGATGGGAGGAGTCAGAATCAGTGCTTAGCCAGGTGGAACCAGATTAACCCAAATACGAAAAGAGGACGATGGACTCTTCAAGAGGACTGTGTAAGCTACTCAATGTACTAATAAACAAAACATATTGCATGGTGTTAAGGGAAATTTTTTTTACATGTAGAGCAGTTCTGTAAATTGAATAAAGCTTACAAGAAACTTGAATTCCATTTTAGTTGCTGATGACTGCGGTTCAGATGCATGGTGCTAAGAACTGGCGACTGGTACAGGAGTATGTGCCAGGCCGTACAGCCCTGCAGTGTAGAGACAGATATAATCACTGTCTGAATCCCGCCATCACCTCTCCCGAGCCCTGGACGTACGAGGAGGACAAGAGGCTACTGAAACATGTCTACACCATGATGGATACAGGTAAAAATACCATTTGCTCCTTGTTTATTAGGATTAGACAAAAGTAGTTAAGAAATTATGTTATGAAAATCGATTTAATAATATACATTTTATACAATAGTTCATCTGCTGCGGAATATAAATAAAATGAAATCTTCATAAATTCATGAAGCAGGATACCTTCATGGTTCTTTAAGACTTTTTTAAAAGGATGACAAATTTTTTTTGCATTAATTGATAAAATAAAATCAACAATATAATCAAAATTACTTTAGAAATTACTGATATAAAGATTACAGGAGAAATTAAAGGACTTTTTCACTTTCAGAAAATGCTGTGAAATGGACAAAGTTGGCATTGGAGTTCCCAGGTCGTACGGACAATCAGCTACTCGGCCGATACAAAAGATTACAGACCTGGGAGATGAAGACTTCATGGTTGGCTGAACAGTCGGTAATTAACAACATTCTGACAACAAAACATTTATACCTCATACAGTGATCGTAACTATTCAACAGCAGTTACATACTTGGTTAGAAAATAAAATTTACTTCAGAATAATTGTTTTGAATTAATTTTCATAGTTATATAATTATATTTTAAAAGAAACAGCAAAGAAGAGATTTGGGTGTTATGGAAGGAGAGGAGCTTCAGAAGGAAATAATTAAAAAAGAGCCAAGCATATGTTTTCAGGTATATTATTTCACAATTTTTCATGCAGATTAAATAGTATTGTAGATTCATTTGGTTGATGGTTTTTATAAGACTGTAAAAACTGTAAAACTCTATGTATAAAGATTATACATGTACATTTGTTTGACAGGAGACAGAGCAGTTATTCCCTGACGTTGTTAAAGAGGACTATCTGAAACAAATGGAGGACAGAAAGAGAGGTCAGATAATTCTGTACTTAGATTGAACTCTTCTGTATTTTAGCAAACAATTGTTCATGTAGATGATTTACTGACATGCATTTCCCAATAGTGTATTCTTATCCTCTCTTTATTTTCTTTTGAATTTATTTGTCACCTGATATCTTAGAATGGTGGTCATTAAGTACAAGGGATGACTTCATGACTTTAACATTTGAATGTATGGAGAAAATGCATTACCTCCCCCTACAAACTTTTTATTGAGTTGATAAATGTTCTGGGTTCTTTGGGATAGCCTTTTTTTCGTGGAGATCGAGATGCACAAAGAGAGAGAGTCCTATTGAATTGATAAGTGAGAGGAAATTTTGGTGAAATCTGATTATTAATATTGTTTTTTATAATCCATAATAAGCAGAGAGACTTGCATTTTATGTGAATAGATACATAGTTCCAATGATAAAAAATAAATAAAAATGTTTTATAGTAGTAACGTTTAATGTCTTGACCTGAAAGTTATTTCTGAATTAAATGATTCTGTTCTTTCATGTGCTTCAAATTTTCATAAAAACATTGAGATGACCTGCTATCTGACAGTGATTGAGTTGTGAAAATTCCTGCAATATAATTTCCTGTTGTTGTCCTAAAATCTTTCAGTCTTGAGACATACACAGAAAAATCACACAATGACATAAAGAAAACATTTTGTTTTGTAGGTGATATAGTGGTCCCCAGACCTCCTGTGATGACTAAAAACAACACCCGGTGCTTTAAAGCAGTCTGGGAACGGAAGAAGCAGTTACATAGCCTGGTCAGCCAGCACCTACAGAACCTTAACTCAGCAGTGCCACATAACAGCACTGCCATTAAGGAATTCAATTCTCTTGGTGCTCTGGTAATAACATTATAAGCTTCATAATGTTACTCTTTGATATTTATTTTTTTCTGTTTGGCTGAAAGTATTTTTTTAGATACATACTTAATCAAATAAATTACTGTTTGTTTAAGCTATTTATAAGTATTGAAAGAATGGATTTTTTGAATGTTCAAAGCAATTTTTCAAAGTTGGAATTTAATTTTTTCTACCTTGTTATTTCCTCGTTAAAATAAATTGGAAAAAAAATCCAGAAAATAAGATCTTTGTGGGAAAACAAACTGTTGACATTCTTTGTTGTTTATATTGCAATGTTAATAGAATAAAGACCAACAGAAGGCTGTACAGAACATGATGTCGAACCAACCCAATCAGATTACTGTCAGGGACATGCTTAACCTGACCAGGAAAATAGCAAGGGCAGAAAACTGTCGAGAGGCCCGGACCAAGAGATGGGAACAGGACATTCTGTATGATGAGCAAGTAAAAGACGTCCTGATCTGGAAGTGCTTCCATTCCCTCATGGTGGAGAAAAGAATTGGACGTCCAAGGAAATTCTACTTGTGTAAGAACCTCAGATATTTTTAAAAATATTCATAGTGAGTAAAACAGTGAAATATGTATGTACTCTTTTTCATACATGCCGTTGTTTTTTGACAGTCAGTCCTTCAGGTAGAAAGCCCCATGTTGCTGAAGATGAAGAGGATGAAAATGTCGAAAAAATCACAGATATCACACTGACTCTGTTAATGAATGTAAGTGTGAGATACACATACACAGATATCACATTGACTCTGTTAATGAATGTAAGTGTGAAATACACATACACAGATAATATCACACTGACTCTGTTAATGAATGTAAGTGTGAAATACATTACTGTAAATTCCTAATTTTTTGCGAATACATGTACTTATTATCATGAAATGCCTCTTTAACGTCAAAATGGGAGAAATTATTCAGAAATGGGGGGTTGATCAAGAGATTTTACATTTGGTTTCTGCACCATAAAAATGAAAGCGAGAAATTTTATTTGGCGAGTTATGCTTCTAGCAAAATTACTTGATAATTAGATTAATTCCTTGATTATACGAGGGCTGTTAGAAAAGTTTGCGGACACATTGAATTACGGAAAATTTATTGTGTACTGTGAAGTATGACCTATGTCTGAATAAATTCCTACATTTTGTTTATTAGTATGTAAAAAATCAGGTCCATTTACTCAAATCTTGAAAATTTTCAGCAATTTTTACTATGAGGTCATGGGATTCACGGAGCAATTGCTTGACGTAAGGCGACGTGACAACCAGATTTCAACCTCTTAAACTTTGTCTAGTTCTATAAATCTTTCACTTCTTCAGTTTTTTTGATATTTTTTCTACTTTAAAATTGAATATCTATATCGAGACATGTTTCTTTTCTACTATAATGTCTTTTGTACTGATTCGTGTATTATTGAGATCTTTAAAAATGTCTATGCTGTAAATCGATCAGGAATGAAAACTTTGCAAAACCAGATAGGCACAATGTCCATGCGATAAGGGGGTATTGAAGTATCGATGGAGTTAATCATTCAAAATGTTAATCCTTCCATTCTTATAAAGGTACAACCATTTGAAAACTTTGTGCTTTGTATGTGTAGGAATTTCCCGGTGTCATATAATATTTAAATGTCTTTTTTTGTCAAATCGGTCAAAATACTCGGCTCGGACGAAATATCGAGTACCCCCCTGTAAAAGTGTAAATAAATATGAACAAAATATTATGGCCATAAAACATTGTAAACTCGTGTCCTTTTAATTGATGAGGGAAATAAAATCATATGGACATAAAATATCCGTAAATGAATTTCTGCCCTTTAAATTTGAGCAGGGAGGGAAGTTTAATATTATGGCCAACAATTTTTAAATTCACTTTAATTTTACAGGGATAAACACAATGGCCATAAAATCATAAGTTTTTTAATTGTGATTTTTGTTTAAAAAATTATGGCCATAATTGTAATGTAACTCTTTGCCCATTTAATTTTACAGGGAGGGGTTCAAAATATTATGGCCATAAAACTTGAACTCGCCCATTTGATTTTACAGGGAGGGATTTACGATTTTAGTACACTTATTATGGCCATAATTTATATAGTATTACTGCCCGGTATTTTGTAGTTTGATGCAACGATGGCCATAAAGTTTTTTAAGCCTTTGCCTTTTAATTGTTTCGCATGTAATCAAACACAACCATATCAACAATCGCCATGTAATTCATCCCCCTGCCCATTTAATTTTACAGGGAGGGGGTTCAAAATATTATGGCCATAATTTATTTAAACATAATGGATCTTAAACGATGTTCAGTGAAAACAATAAAATTAATGACAAACAAAAAATAAGGGAAGAAGACAGCCGAAGGTGAGAAAATCCAGGTACCCCAGGTGCTTGGTCACGATAATTACAGTAACTGTATAAACACTGCCACAGGCAATAACGGTCATTTAGAGTCGTAGTAAACCCTAATTACTGTGTGTACAAGTGCAATGAGCATTTTACGTTTTAAAAAGGTAGGGGTTTAATGCATTAATAAATAAGGGGGTTAGAATATATCGCAGCGAAAAATAACCCGGGTTCAAAATATTATGCGATATTTCGAACCCGGGTTCAATATATCGCGGTATCAAAATATTATGCTACACCGGCAGCATCTTGAACATTTTAATGTCTTTTTAGACATTTTCCTGTCTGCACACACAATTCTTACGTAGTGCAATGCTCCATGACGCTCGATGACGTTCCGATTTCTGGCTGTGTTTTTCCACATTAATTATTTATAAATGGCTATAAAACAGTCATATACCCTCCAATGGTATTCAAAATTTCTCCCAGTAACGTTTTATGAATACTGTAGCGACAGGTAAAATATCATAAATCTCTTTGCTCTACGATTGTGCAATTTTTAATTCTAATAAAGGGTCTTTGTGATAAATACGTGCCGAAATGTAGTATGCTCCATGAAGCAAGATTTATCAAAATAAAAAAGCTCTCTTTTTTTCAATGATTACTGGTCTGGAGAGCACCAAAGTTTTGTATATTTACTGGAAAATAGGTTAAGATTTTATCTGGAAAGTTTGACAGGTTTCGTATAAATAGGGCACTCACAATAGAACTTCTAACACCCCTCTTATTTAGGAATCTACAGTATACACTTATCCACTGGTTGTGATTGGAATGAATAGCTCTTTTATCAAACCCATGACAGGAACTATTCATTGAGGGCTTGCTCTCAAATAAATATGAAACCTTTTAGACTTGTACAGTGACAGAAATATACAGTAAAACTTATTTAGTGTGAACATTGATATTGCAAATTCATGGATTTGCAAAATCAATGTTCACACTAAATAAGTTTTACTGTATATTTCTGTGATTGTACAAGAGTTTGTGCTTCAAGAAATTATTAAAAAACTAAACTCACCTGGTAGTGAACGAGGGTATCTTTGAATTTATTTAATTTCATTTTTAATATTTTATGAATATTTATATTTTCATCTAAATGCTGCTAATTTGAGGAAAAAAATAATCATAGGACTTGTCTTATTGGTAAGATTTGAATTATATTTTTATTTCTTACTAGTTTCAAACCTTTTTATATTTTTCAGGCTTTAGATCTTGATTACAAAAAAGCTTTGATGAAGAGCAAGCATATGGACATAAATGATCCCACAGTGAAGGAAGACATTGCTTTCTTGAGAAGAGTCACTCCCAGCATATTACCATCTAATCCAGCTGAGAAACGATTCACTAGTCCCAATATTCAGAATGTGTCTGCTTCACCAGCACCAACTCGTACTGGACCGGCCAGGACCACAGTTCTGTCTACAGGAAGATCATCAGCTTCTGAAAGTCAGAATAATCCATCAACATCCACAGCGCAGAGTTCACAAAGTCAAAACAATCCTTCCACATCCTCAGACAAGAATTCACAAAATCAGAACACTTCATCAACAGAACAAATTTCGCAAAGTCAAAAGACTCTGTCACCATCCACAGTGCAGAAATCACAAAGTCAGAACACTCCTTCATCCACAGGAAAGAATTCAGCAGGTGGACAAAACAAGGGGCCAGACTTGGATCGGAATACGCAGTCTAGTGGAACTCGTCAAGGTAATGTTATATGTCAACAGGATAAAACTACATGTATGTCAGTTAACACACGGAAGAGGAAGGCAGGAGGAGGTGAAGAGGAACAGGTTAAACAAAAGAAATCCAAAGAAACTTCATCTCTGTCAAACAAAAACAAGGACTCTGCTGAATATACAGTTAATACCAGTAACAAAACCACTGTAAATGGTACCACTAAATCACAGGCAGGTAGAAATTCTGTTACAACTGGAGGGGCACAAACAGTACCAAACATAAATCAGGCCACAACAGCACAGAGACCTACAACAGCATCCCAGCCCTCTGCTATTCCATCTGGGACTAGAGTCATTAAACTTCCTCCAGGTGTCAAGCTCAAACCAGGTGACAAAATACAAGACATTCTAGCAGCTCATAAAGCGTCTATGTCTCCAACATCTCAATCCCAGCAATCGCCTCCAGGACAAAGTGTCCAAGGCTCCCAGAATCCACCGCAGACTCAGACCACTGCTGGGAGGGAAGCCACTAGTAGGGGAGGGGGGTCTCAGGCTCAGAAACAGAGTGTGGTGGTGATCAGGCCTCCTAGTGGAATACAGGACCCCAACAGGGTCAAGATCCTGCCCCCCGGGACTGTCACAACCTCTGCCTTCAAAAGCCTGCTACTACACAGAAAATATCTGATGAAAAAAGCAGATGAAGTATACAGCAGACCGTTTTACAAAGTTCGAGGTGAAGAGCTCCAAAAGAGAATAATCATGGAACTGGCCAAACAGTCTGGAGTAAAAGTGGAGGAGAATGTCACCGAGAGTGCACATAGAGCGGGAACATTGACTGAAACAATACATGCTGCTGACAATTCTATAGTCAGTGACGTGACAGTCAACATACTGAAAAAACGTAACAAAACTAATGTTCATAAGGATGCTCTGGCAAAAGTGAGAAGAAGCAAGGAGTATAAGATGTTACAGAAGAGATTCGAAGCTCTGTTTGCCTGGCCTGCCCTATTATCCACCATTTGTCCAGATAATGTAGAAAATCCTGCCAAAAGTATGCCGACTAGTGTACAAAACACTAAGAAGAAAAATGTCTATCCAAAGGTCATAACAAAAAAGGGTACACCATACACTGTTGTTGACAAAAGTGAGTTGAATAAAAAAGACCAACCGGTCTGGAGGAAAAAGGCCAGGTAAGTTTGATTTAGTCATGGAAAGATGTAATAATAATATTCTTTTATAGAATTCAGGTCCTTCCAATTATGAACTCTTAACCTGTAAACAAAATTATATCAAAAACTGTTTCTTGTTTTAAACCTTTGTTTTTTTTAAAAACATTTTCTTAGTCTAACTAAATCTGAGAGATCAGGGTTTGACTGTATTTCTCTTTATCATATGTTGTTATAGGAAGCCTTCTTATCCTTGTGTGAAAAGTAAACATACCTGGAGGAGAGTTGTTATGGACAGAGAACTGAAGAAAATAAAGAGAGAAGCCAGGATGAAAAAGCTGCGGGAAACATTGGAAAAGAAGCGAAGGGGAGGTAAATAAGACTTGTTAAGGAAATATCCTCTGTCTATCCTGTCTTGTTTGAATTAGCCTTCTCTCTTTTTTTTTAAGAAATCCATTTTCAAGAAGTTTGGGAGTTTTTTTTTAAACCAATATCTTATCAGTGTAGGAAACTCACTGTAAATGTAGCTAGACATGCAGGGCTGACTGCTAGTAAAAATTGCCTAGTCCTGCCGATGATTTACTAGCCCTTGGAAAATGATTACCCTTTTTAAAATATTATTTTTATCTTACCTTAATGAAGTTAGGGATCTTATCTTTTATCCTTATGTTGAACAAATTTGCATGGATGATACATCTAAGGATACACAATACAAGGCTTGCTTTGGATGCTGAATCTGACATATGTTTTTACCTTTTGAAATAAAACATTTGTTGAGGTGAGCTCTGTAATCTCTGATTACCCTGTTTTAGGGTTTAGGTGAAGAGGAATACTAGCTTTGATCCAATTCAACAGTCTTGTGAGTTCTGGGCCATGGTTTGTTACACACTGCTACGGTAGCATGATCAATTATTTTGAGACAGATTTATTAATCTAAATTTTAATTACTTGGCAGTAGAAATTTCAACAAATCAAATCTGACATCCATATATAAAGCAATTCTTTTTGCCCATGACAAAAGCTTATGAATATTTCTGGCCACTCATCTATCTGGCTGTGTAGCTTTCACATTTTCAACAACTTATCAAGAACTACTGGGCCAGCAAAGCTGAATTTTATGTGGAAGCTTTCTAAGATAGTGTAGATTCTAAATTGTTTAAATCATGGCCCCCCAGCAAAGCTGAATTTTATGTGAAAGTTTTCTAAGATAGTGTAGATTCTAAATTGTTTAAATCATGGCCTCTCGGGAAAGGGTGGGGCCACTCAAGTTTTACATTGAAACATATCTATGAGGAAGAATCTTTGAAAATCTTATTCTCAAGAACCTCTGAAAATTAGAGGAAAACTTCCTGAGGTATTTTGGATTGTAAATTGTTTATTTCATGGACCTCAGAGATAGGTTGGGGTCACATTAGGGATTATACAGTGAAAATCTTGGAAACTCCTCTTCGCAAGAACAGCAAAGATATGAAGAATACAATAAAACTCAGTTATAACGAAGTCACTGGGACCTGTGAAAGTACTTCACTATATCCGTAATTTGTTATATCCGTAAAAGAAATTCTTTAAATTTATATAGCTGGGAATCCAAAAAAAAATTCGCTATATCTGTGAATTTGCTATATCCATGTTCGCACTAAACAAGTTTTACTGTAATAGTTAGTGGAAGCATTCTCTGGTATTGGAGATTTATTTTTGTTCAAATCAAAGCTCTTGTTCGTAGACTGGAGTTGCAATGGGCAATCCAAAATTTTCATAGGAATACATACATGTATTTATTGGGAACAAATATGATGGAAGAGCAGGACCAAAGTTGCCCAAGTGAGCATTGTTGCCCATGGGCCTCTTTTACCAAAATAGTGCACTCAAAATTCAGCACATGATCCTTTTTAACTGATTAGTGCATTCATAATACATTCATCTATAGACTTAAAAGTGACATACATGTATATGTATTATTTCTAATCATTTATAAGAGTGTACATAAATTAACTGTTACAATACTTTTTTTTTGGCAGAGTTTCAACCAAAGAAAAAGGAAAAGAGAACTGTCACCACCACAAGTACACGCAAGAGTCAACGAATGGTAGTGAAAAGAAGTTTGCCATATTCATCAGAGACGCAAGAGGCCTCTGCCCCCAAAAAGCTGAAACGGGTTGTGAGGAAGAAAAACCAAGGAAACAAAGCGCAAAACTCAGATGGTAAAAACTTCCAGCTACTAGGGGATGCTGTTGTACCAGTGGCTTTGATCAGCAACATCTCATCCTCCATTGCAAATGGCAGCATTGCCGGCGGTAACGGGGAAAACACTGTGTCAGTATCTCACCCCTTCCCAGTCGTTCAATCAATAAATAGCATTGGTGGACAGATATCTTCAACAGTGGGTGGTGAATCTACCCTTGCAGTGAGTAATGGACCTACAACATTGCCCCTACAAGAAGGAACCCTGCCTTTAGTGGCTATAACTGACATGCATATCCAGACTCTACCCTCCACAAGTGGAGAGGGGGAACCCCCAGTTGTTTTTGCCTTTTTGCCATCTGCTCTGGGTGATGGTCAGTTAGAACAAATACAAGTTACAGAAAGTATGGAGATACCGGGAACATCCTCCTCTGACAATGTGATGCAGGTTTTCCCTGTCAGCGATCAGGAACAGATAAAAGACATTCAGTAGTGTCTGTATACAACTACCAACTAATGAAGCATATCATTTTTAGTTGTAATGCTCCAATGATTTGAAAAATTTTTAGATTAGAAAAATCACGGATGACTGACATACTCAGGTAGTCTCACAATGAGACAATTTAAGCTCACCTGCTTAAGGCTGAAGGCTCAAGTGAGCTTTTCTGATCACATTTTGTCCATCATCCATTTGTCTGTTTGTAAACTTATCACATTTTCCACTTCTTCCCGAGAACCACTAAACCAATTTTAATCAAGGGGAGATAATCAAGAAAAAAAACAAAAATAGGGTGGGGTCATTATAAAATCTCCTCAAGAACCACTGGCCAGAAAAGCTGAAATTTATGTGGAAGCATCCTAGGGGTAGTGTAGATTCTAAATTGTTCAAACCATGACCGCTGGGGGTAGGGCTGAGTTTTACATTGAATTATATAAGAAAAATCTTTAAAAAACTTTTTCTCATGAACCAGTGGGCCAGAGAAGCTGAAACTTAAGTGGAAGCATCCTGGGGTAGCGTAGATTCTAAATTGTCCAAATCAAGACCCCTGGGGGTAGGGTGGGGTCACAATAGGTATAACAAGGGGATGGCATCTGTTGAGGAGCAATAGCCAAATTTAGTCAGGTGAGCAATGTGACCCATGGGCCTCTTGTTTGATTCATCTTCTTTATTAAGTGTCATTTTTTTTGATTCAGTATAAACTTTTCTTCATGCCTGTTATGTTATTTATTAAAAACTATATTGTACACTACATATCTTATCCCACAGCTCAAGCGTTATATGGAAGAAAGACATTCTTCCCTATCATTGTGTAAGACTCTGGAACTCATCAGACTAATTAGTTTGACCTGTTTAGCAGCATGTAGTTTGTGAGAAATGATATTTGTGTTAAGTACCGTATACATTGGCATATTATGTTTACATGTTTACTTTTGTCAATTCAGCCAGTTATGTTTGGTTTTGAAATAAAAAATTGTTACAGTCTTCAAAGAAAATTCATTCATTTTAATAGGAAATACATTGTTAGAATTTTTACCATTTTTTGTTGCTGAATAATGACAGAACAGAAGTGTAACTTTGTCTTTTCTTTGTCTGAAGGTTAATAAATCAAGATCTAATCAGTAAACCAGAAGTTTATGATGAAATTGTAGCTCTACTGGTTTGCTCCTATAATATAGGAAGAAAAATGAAGCACTTTTGAAATCAAAACTGTTGATGTAATTAATTTTTTACTTCAAATACTATTATTTTTTTTTTAGGTTACCTGACAAAATATTGAAATTTATGGCCCCTAGGTCAGGGGTTCTTGGGTTAGGGTGGGGTTCAGAAGTGAAATTGCATGAGATTTGATCTTCTCTACCCCAGATTTATAATCATATAAAATAGTGCATGGTTATGATTGGCAAGGGTGCCTCTTCCAAAATTTTGAATATCATGGCCCCTGGGTCATGGGTTTTGGTGTTTGCCTGTTTTTTTTTTTTTAGAATAATAGCAGAAATGCTTCATTTCTTTGATTTTACACTGGTCCTGGGTATTTGGCAGACATACTCAGCACTGTAATGATGAATATGATGCCATTTCCAAAAGTATCAAAAGCATGGTCTTTGAGGCAGGGGTTCTTAGTTAGGATCAAGCTCTTTTGATTATGTAGTGGAAATAAGTGCATTATTTCTTTGAAAATCTTTGCTTTTAGGCATTTAGCAAACATGCTAAGTGAATGGTTACAAAGAGCAAGGATGTCTCCAAAATTGAAAAATTCATAGCCCCTAGTTTTGGGGTTTATTTTAGAGCGAGTTTTTAGCTCACCTCAACGAAGTTGGGGGAGCTTATGTAATACCCTCGGCATCGGTGTCAGCGTCGGCGTCCCAGGTTACTGTTAAGTTTTTTGGAGCAGTTTTCTTTTTAAGTACTTCTATGTCATATATTGATTAGACATGCGCAAGTGAGTTAAGGCTAAATATGAATATTTCTATTCAAATGAGCTAATAAAAATTCATAAGTTGTATATTTTATGTACATAGGATGTTCAAATTGATTTTGTAATACATACTAAGTATCCACAGTTTATTAATGCAAGTGCACACTATGACGTCATATCATGACGTCACTTTTCTCTCCCATTCAAGGTAATAAATCACATCAACAAAATCACGTCGGCGCAAGGGCATAACCTATCTAATTCAAAATAAACAATGTATAATATTATATTGTTAAAATTAATAAAATTGCTGCACAAATCCATCGATAAAAATATTAGGAAACTTACATACTCTGCATTTTTACCCTGTTTAAACTTAAAACTGCACGAATAGTAACTAAACAATTGCAGTGCCGACATTTGTGCAGCAATGTCTTAAATCCTTAGAATATCCCGCCCCTTTTTCTACCTTGTTTCTGTAAAACAAAGTAAGGTATGCCCTTGCGCCGAAGCAATTTTGTTGATGTTTCTTATAAACTTGTGTAGTAGAGGTTAATGACGTCATCATATGACGTCATAATGTGTACTGGCTATCGCATGTCGTGGGTACCAAGAATGTATTATAAAACAAGTCTTAACATTTTCTGTGCGTTAGGTAGAGCAATTATGGAATTTAATTAGATATTTTGCATAGAGACCTCCATATGCAGCCTTAACTCACTTGCGTGCATTGAAGATGCTTATAGTGTGTTTCATTGTACCAGTCAAAGTTTCAGATGCTGCAATATCAGCAAAGGAATGACCAGGTAAATTTTTTGGAGCAGGTTAACATTTTTATGCCCCCGTAAACAAAGTTTCGGGGGTATATAGTTTTTGTTGTGTCCGTCTGTCTGTCTGTCTCTCTGTCTGTCTCTCTGTTTGTCCGCAAAAACTTTAACCTTGCCCATAACTTTTGATTTAGTGGAGCTATGACTTTCATATTTCATATGTGTATTCCTTGTGACAAGACCTTTGTTTGGGTACCACCAAATTTGACCTTTTGACCTTGGAGTTTGACCCACTTTTACCTGAAAATTTTAAAATTTTACTTTGGCCATATCTTTTGAACAGTAGACACCAGAACATTTATACTTCACATATATAATGTTTGTTAAAAAACCTTTCATTGGATACCAACAATCTTGACCCTTTGACCTTGACTTTGTAGATTTTGGTACTTGTGAAAAAACTTTAACCTTGGCCATAACTTTTGAACGGTAAAGGATAGGGCTTTCATACTTCATATATGTAATCCTTGTAAAAAGACCCTTCATTGGATATGAAGATCCTTGACCCTTTGACCTTGACCTTTGAGATTGACCTACTTTAAAAATGCAAACCTTGACCATAACTTTTAAAGACTAGGGCTAGTGCTTTCATACTTTACATATTTGATCCTTATGACAAGACCTTTCATTTGATAACAATAACTTTGACCCTTTGACCTTGACCTTGGAGTTTGACCTACTTTAAAAATACAACATTGACCATAATTTTTAAAGGGTTCGGGCTAGGGCATTCATACTTCACAGATTAAATCCTTGTGGCAAGACCTTTCATTTGATATTGACCCTTTGACCTTGGAGTTTGACTTATTTTTTTTACAAACATTAACCTTGACCATAACTTTTGAACAGTAGGGGCTAGAGCTTTCATATTTCACATGTGTAATCCTTGTGACAAGACCTTTCATTGGATATCAAGAATCTTGACCCTTTGACCTTGACCTTTGAGTTTGACTTACTTTTTACAAACTTTAACCTTGACCATAACTTTTGAACAGTAGGGACTAGAGCTTTAATATTTCACATGTATAATCCTTGTGACAAGACTTTTCATTGGGTATCAAGAATCTTGACCCTTTGACCTTGACCTTAGAGTTTGACCTATTTTTTAAAAACTTTAACCTTGGTCATAACTTTTGAATGGTAAGGGCCAGCGCTTTCATACTTCCCGTACATAATCTTTGAGACAGCCTTTCTTTAAAACCCAACAACCTTGACCCATTGACCTTGAAATGGAGTTTGTCCTATATTATAAAATGTTAACCTTGGTCATAACCCTAGAACAGGTGTAGCTAGCATTTTATTTTTCGCATTTCTTGTGAAAAGGCCTTACTTTGGTACCAACTTATTTGACCTGCATTTGAGAAAGCTTAACCTTCGCTATGTTGCCATTCGGGGGCATCAGTGTTTCACAATACATCTTGTTGGTGAAGTTTTTGGTGTAGGTCTCATTTCCAAGGAACTATAAGCCCTATGTTGACCAAACTTGCACAGATGATACATCTAAGGATGCACATTACCCGGCTTGCTTCGGATGCTGAATCTAACCTACATTTTCCAGTTGAGTGAACAGGTTAACGTTTTTGGTGCAGGTCTCATTTCCAAGTAACTATAAGCCCTATGTTGACCAAACTTGCATGGATGATACATCTGAGGATGTACACTACCAGACTTGCTTCGGATGCTGAATCTGATCTACATTTTCCAGTTGAGTGAACAGGTTAAAGGTTTTGATAACTATAAGCCTATGTTGACCAAACTTGCATGGATGATACATCTAAGGATGTACACTACCAGACTTGCTTCGGATGCTGAATCTGATCTACATTTTCTGGATGAGTGAACGGGTTAAAGTTTTTGGTGCAGGTTTCATTTCCAAGATACTATGAGCCCTATAATGACCAAACTTGCATGGATGGTACATCTTCGGATGCATACTACTAGACGTGCTTCGGATGCTGAATCTGACCTACATTTTCTGGATGAGAGAACGGGTTAAAGTTTTTGATGCAGGATTCATTTCAAAGTTACAATGAGCCCTATAATGACCAAACTTGCATGGATGAATATCTTAGGATGCATACTACCAGACTTGCTTTAAATGCTGAATGTGACCTACATTTTCTGGATGAGTTAACAGGTTAAAGTTTTTGATGCAGGATTATACATCTATGGTTGTAATCTACCAGGCTTGCTTTGGATGCTGAATCTGACCTACATTTTTTTGGGATGAGTGAAGGTTAAATTTTTATGCAAGTTTCATTTCTAAGTAACTATTAGCCCTATGTTGTGCAAACTCGCATGGATAATACATCTTAGGATGCACACTAATGGATTTGCTCTGGATGCTGAATTCAGCATACATTTTTCAGATAATGGACCAGGTAAAAGTTATGAGTGCAGTTCTATTACCGAGAAACTATAAGGCTTATATAAACCAAACTTGCCCAAATGATGCATCAAGGGATGAAAACTCTCACACTTGCTTCAGATGCTGGATTTTAATCACATTTTTGTGATGAAGAACTAGTTTGAAGTTTTTATATAGGTCTATTCCAAATATCAGATCAAAATTGCATAATTTTTGCATTTTTGAATATACACTTTTTGTTGGGTAATTGTGTGACTTTGCCTTACTTAAAGATGACATTCGTTGAGGTGAGCTCTGTAATCTCTGATTACATATGTTTATTAATTAAAATTATCATGATTATAGTAAAATTGCAGTATTTCTCTTCCCTTCCCTTTGGCATCACATTCCGAGTAAATGGTTAAATGGTGAGCAATGGTTTCTTTTCCAAATTGAGAATTTCATGGCCTCTGGTGTTAGCTTTGGGCTCTATTAATGAAATTGTGAAAATATAATGCATCAATTCTTTTAAGAGTCATCTTTGCTCCTGGGTATTCAGCAGAAAAAATAAAACTTAGTTATGAAGAGCATGGTTGTACGTCTCATTAAAACTAAGATTTAAGGTTCTTTGGTTAGAGGATCTGGTTATACAGGCAGCTTACTATCCCAGCTCTTCAGGGATAGCTGGCACAGCTAAAAAATATGCATTTGCATTCATTGCAAGCATATGTGCCATAAATTATGTGCTCTGCAAATATTAATTGATTGATTGTATGCTGTTTAACCTCCCTCTTGAGAATTATTCACTCAAATAGATATATGGAGATGCCACCACTTGCCAATGGATAGCTGTTACTTTTGTCCTAAACCTGGCACTTATGGCCATAGAGCAGTGAGGGGGCTTTTTCGTGCCAACAACTACTGCAACACAGGGCCTCCAAAGGACCGGTCTCCGTGTCCCACAGTGGGATTCGAACTTGAAAAATAAGGATAAGCTCCTTTCCTTTCGACTCTAGAGCGGACACTCTAACCACTGCACCATGCTGGCGACTATTCTGCAAATAAGAAAACTGAATTCTTCCATTTTTTTTGTATCAAATTCTATCAGCTTATCCTGTATTTGAGAAGTAAAAAGCATTACAATCCAGTGCTCTGTCATTAAACTGTAAAGTTAACCTGCTAAATAAAGCTAAGAGAGAAGGACCAGAACGGGATTTGAACCAGGCCCCCTGAATCTCCAGTCAGGTGTTCTACCCACCGAGCTACATGGCCAACTGAATCTGACTGTCCACCATCTTCCCCCTCCTAAAAAAACCTTTTATTCCCTGAAGACACTAACCCAGGCTTTTCCCTGGCAGATCTTTCAACTGTCACTTGCAGGGTATGGCAAAACACCAAATGTAAGTGAAAACAGGCCCCCTGAAATTCCAGACAGGGGCTCTATAGGGGTATCTGGCCACCGGAGATTGAACCTGTCTCTCACTGATACATTATCACTTTCAATTTTATTGTGAAGAAAATCTGTAAGTACTTTGAAAATTTTCAATTGTTTTCTTTTTATTTTTGAATCACAGCAGCTAAAAGTTTACAAAAGCATCAACAGTATTTGCCTAAAGTCTTAACATCAAATTAAGCCAAAGAACAAAATCATTAAGGGAACACTGTGAACAACCATTTAATATCAATAGTATAGAATATAACTGATAATTACAGAGAAAAACACTCAATTCTGTTCCTCCTTGAACTAAATTTTAATGCAGAACTTAAATATCTCTTGAGAGATGGTGAATAAAACATGATTTAAAAACATGCCTGATGATTCAAGTATGCAAAATGGTCAATTATGATGTATGATGAAAGTACATGTAGATGCAAACCTTCCAAAGTTTTAATACTGCTTATTATTTCATATTATTTTCTCTTAAATTAATAATCATCCACTAATTTTTCATAATGTCTGGTACAGGTTCCTCATTATTTTGTGAGTATAATCTTGTTAAGGTAGAAATATTTTAATGACAAATTCTTGGAAAAAATTGAATATCACTGAAGAACATATCATCTGACTTTCAGCAAGAATAATTAAAATTCTACTATAGATGTGTCTGACAAAAACATTTTATTGCCGAAAACTGCACTTTTAAGATTTGGCTTCAGTATGAGGTATGGCCAATGACACGAAACTAATTTGTGAGTTAAGGGAAATAAAATCTGTGCTTCATTTATCTGAAAAGATAATTTTTTTGTGAGAAATGATGAAATTTAAACAGGCAATTTGTTTCCAAGTATTGATAGCAGTAAAAGGACACGTGTCCGCATGGTTCAAGTACAATGTTGATACAAAAGTAAACATATTACAACAAGGAGAACAAAAAACAAAAATTTAAAATCAACTAAACACATTAAAACAGAACTGAAAGAGGATTTTGGCCTACAAAAAAGCAGATGACATGTACACATACACTTACTGCAAAGAGAGAAAATTACCAAGACTATTACAGTGATGAAAGCTCATACTTTTCACTCACTGATTCAGATTTGTTTAATAAAGAAGTGGAATGCTGATTTTGACTTACAAAGAAAAAAATATTTTTCATTTTTTTTAATAACTACAGTCTACTTATACTCTTGTAAATTTTATCTTCAATTACATACATCAAGGGAGATAAGAATTATGATGCTTTTTGCAAAATGATGTGGAGTTTTCATCTTTAATAAATGCACAAAAATACATGAATACATAATAAATTTGATAAAAAGAAACAAAATTTAACTAATTCCAAAGTTCACACATTAAATACTTTCAAATCAACAAGAAACATAGCCTTATAATGTTTACTACAATACACAAGAAATACATTTTATCAATGGATAGAGGAGAGAATTAGATCTTCTCACTAGCTGGAGAAATCCTTTATCTCTCCACTCCAATGGAAGTTTTCAGACCAGCTGACAAAAAATGCATCAAATCTGCAAATATTTCCATTAAATATAAGTCATTTCATCCTAATTGTGCCCTTTGCTAATATCCTTCATTGGAAAATGTAATATTTTCATATTTATATTTTCTGCTTAGTATAGCGGCTGTGATGGCGTGATCAGCTTGACCAAATCCCTGAAAAAGCAGAAAAATTCATTCAAAATGACAAATAATGCAAATTGTTAAACATCCCTGGAGAAAAATTAACAAAAATTATATTCCGACAAAAAAACCCATTAAATGTAATAAATATATTCTTGTAATTTTCTTTTCTGTATCTTTATCTGTAACTCAGTGTGCATCTGATAATACCTTTAAATTTTCTTTAGGGAGTATTTTGTACTTATAAGAATAAATTTTGACTGATCTCTGCTAAAATTGAACCAAATATCTTTAAATGTTTTTTCCAACTTTCAGAAAAGCACATGCAGACAAACATTCAAGGATAGCTTAAAACTGATACAAAATTCATATTGGAATGAAACAAAGTCTCTTAAACAAATTAATGATTTAAGATGTGGCAGCTTCATTAAAATACTTTTTTAAAAAGCTACATATGTGAAATATACAACTTCTATGCAAGAATGCATCATTCCCAAAAAATTGTCTGCAGTTGCTTTCAGTTACATGGAAATGGATCGAGTCCAAACCCTTAATACTGGACAGTTATCTGGAATACAAAAGATACACAGCATCCAAATCACAACAGGTAGTCTGTATACCTAAAGATGTATCCCCACACAAGTTTGGTACACTTAGAACCTCACAGATCTTTGACTAGCATTGGAATTTTCCCAAAAAGATGAATCTGACTCCATTTAAAAAATTGCAGCCATATAAGCATGAGACATTTATGCAGATTTGATAATTCAGGTATGTCTAGGTTAATACTTGTATTTTTTCCAACATGAACTGTATCTCAATGTGGAAGATGTCTGGAAGATGCATCTATAAAGTTTATTTGGTCAGTTAGAGCCTTCCAATAACTGAAAGATCTTTGTGTGACTTTTATAATACCTAATGATGCTGTACACCTCTTCTTTGAGTAAATACAAACTGAAACTATATGTTTTGGCAATTTTTGTACATTTTTTATCGTTTGATATCTATTGAGAAACCCCTGCAATGTATGCTGATTCTTTATCTCACAACATCTGATGGTAGTCTTGGTACTTCATGTATATAATCTTATATTAAGAATACCTTGAATTTATTATCAGTGGGTAAGGTATGTTCTCAGGAATTTTGTGTTTGACCTTAAAATGAAGAAGTTTTATTTCTTAAATCTCTGAGGCACCTTGTCTAACATTTATACATATGACATGGCACAAGACAATAATAATGTTAACCCCTACCTGAGAATATCCATATATCTGCAGTTTTTTCTTGACTGGGTCGTGTTCTATTCTTCCTCCCCCTACACACTCACAGTCCAACCCCTTACTTTCTATGTCTGGACACACCTCATCATAAACATCAGCTACAACAAAAAGAGATGACCTTATAGTAAGGGGGCATATTGAGGAAAAAAGGGAAAAATTACTTGTAACTTTTTACACATATTCAAGAAAGTATTTCTTAACAATAAACCTTACCATATTGATAAAATAACTGGATTAATGATTATTATCAATTCTTTTTAAGAGGTAGATGAATTAATTATGAAATTAAATGATACATACTGTAGATCATTTAATTTTCGCGACACCTTGTTTTCACAAGATAGTCATTGACTCTTTATTAGCGAGACAAAATTTTCACGAATTGTGGTCATTGATCTATATAATCTTGAGGAATTCTATTATATGCGAGAATGAAATTTTCGCAAGCATAAGTTCTCGTGAATAAAAAGTGATTTGCAGTATACTTATATATATATATATAAATAAATAAAATTGCTTATTTTTCTCAAAAATACATACACCCTTCAACAAATATTGTTTCTCACATAGCTATGAAAACAAAACTTTTATTATATGTTTGAGATTATTTTTGTTGAAATACAAAATTACTGGTATGGTACACAGCTGAAGTTTAATACAGAAGATAATAACCAATTCTGATTTTACATTTTGATGTATTCCAAAATTTCTTATAAGTAAGGTATCGTCCTAGGAGAGGTAATAAAAAATACTGTGCACTCAGTGATTTCCTGTCTTTATCACTAGACTAGTGTCAGTAGATACAACTAATTGATTCCAGACAATAAACATTTTAGTCGGATGGAAGCCTAGATCAATTTTTGACATTTTTTCTGGGTTTTAGGCCCAGTAGGACATGATGCTCTGCAGGGGCAGATAACAATGGAGGAATTTTCAATTGACCTACAGCATGGCATAAATCATCAGAGGGGTGATAGTAGTCTGCAGATACACCAAAAACATCACAGCTCCACCAAAACACAACCAGTCTCCTACCGCATCTTACACACTTCCACAAAATTTAATTAATTTCCAGCATCTTTTCACAATATTCGGCAGAAAAAAATCTCAAGATTTACAGACTGAAAACTCTCCCTTATCTTGTCCAAATGCTCTCTGTGCTATCAAAAAAAGAATGAATGAAATTGATTCACTGCTGATAAACTGATCTGCAATAACCTTACTGCAAAGGAAAATCATTTTAAATGTGTTATAGAGGGTTATAGAATTCATCCCTCAGTTAATGAAGTTCCTAGCAAAGGCTATAAAACACTAATAAATTTGTCACGGTTAGTGATTCTTGTTCTTGCTGGGAGATTTACTAGTGACTGTAACAAACAACACAATTATCATACCAGAGTCTGTTCCCCACAGATTTGTCTCCCATGATCATCTGTAACCATTATGTCATTTTCAATAAATCTTGTGAAAAATAACGGGAAAAAAACCTTATAAACAAACAAATAAACTGAAAGGGAAAACTCCAACCATCTAGTTATCAGTCACTATTTTAATTTTAAAGGAACCAGTAGTTTATGTAAAAGTCCACTTGACTATGAAATTCCATTTTCATATGCAGAAGCAGATTTGAGACTGAAGTTTGGCTGAATACTTTTTCTTTATAAAATATTTAAACGCTATTATCAAAAAGCATCTTTCTTAGCCCTAAGGTTGAACAATCCCTATTTATACCAAAAAAAAAAACTCTTCCAGGAACAGGCCAGGTGCATCTGCCAGTCAATCCTGAAACTCTTTACAATCTGTTAGATATCTCGACATATTTAAGTGGCATTTCATTGATAAATCCTGTCCTGATGCTAAAGTTTGACTTTTCCTTCATTCCAAAGCCTCATCAATTACCACCAGTCAATTCAACTCCTGATCAGAGTCAAGGAAACTGTTCTGAAGTTCAAGCACATGTGTGAAAATTCATCAATCGTAGAAAAAAAAAACATGTTGAGCCATGTGTACATAGTTTTCATTTCATGTTCAAAAGTTCTGTAAAACCAAAGGATGTCTAGGAAGAGATGATGAAATATATATACTGTTTGAACTAAATTCATTTTTTTTTTTGGCTTCTCAGCAAAAAAACTAACAAATCAGTCCTGCATTGCATACATGAATTCCTACTTGAAACAAAATGGTTGCTTTAAAATCTCAAAAAAGAAAAAAAAAATCAATGTAGAAGAATGACCAACAGAATTCTTTATTTTAAAGAGTACAAAGAATATTTTTGAGTGATTGACCAGAGACTCAGTACACCCCCTTGTCTCTGATTGTCCTCAAATCTTTGAGTTCATTCAATTATAAAAAATGCATTTTAATCCAAGTTTATTTAAGTAAATTGAATAAAAAATTAAACCATCAAAATAAGATAACATATGTAAGGTCTAGGTCATATGGAAGGTCATGATCAGAAAATAATAGCTTTATCAATATGTAATTAAGAAGTTTGAAAAGAAAATATCTGGAACGGTTTCTTACATACACTGTAAATGCAAAATGAAAAATAGACTAAATGGAATCAAGCCATACGGAAGTTCAAGGTTAGAAAAATATTAACAACTGCATAACTCCCACAAATATGTATCAGTGTGGGAGTTGTGATAAAAATATCTTTAAAATGTTAAATAATTAATTTGAATGTGAGCTAAACACAAAATACAAGCAAAAAATAAGCAATAATAAGGTCAAGGTCACAGGGAAGGTCAAAGTCAGAAAGTATTGAAACAATTGAATTGTTCCTTTACATTTGTATCATTATATTGTAAAGAGTTTGATGAAAATATTGTGGTATTAGGATTAATTAGCACAAATGATTTCAGAAATAAGTAACCTAGTAATCATTTATTTTCAAACTTTCAGTCAGCAAACAGTCTAGGTAGCAATAAAAATAATATAACCACAATTCAAATGGATTTACTTTACAAATAATTGGATTTTCATCATTCTAACAATTGTTGCAATATAGGTTTCTTTTAAAAATCATTACTTCAAAAAGCAACTAGTGCAAGATATCAAATACTATTTATTGATAATAAGTTTCTCATTATCAAGATATAACTTGTTACCATACATATATACACAGGTAAAAGTTTTTATCATCCAATACTTTACCTCATAATTTATATCAGTACAAAACATTAATACCCACGAGATGAGACTGTGGAAATTGAAAAGCTACTTGAATATAGATAACAGATGGCCAAAGATCATTACAGGAATATGGAGTAGCTAACAGATATATTACATGATAATGTGTATGTGTAATTATTGCCTGCCACCTTAATGAAGAGAATCTTATGCCAATATATATGCCAAGGAATGTTGTATTCTTACAAACTACACACACAATGCATTTTCTACATTGTTAGAGGTGGGCCACACTCGGGTTTCCCCCAATAGACTCAAAGTCACGATGTAGATATTAACCTCTTGGCACTCTGTGATTGGAAATGGACAGCATTACAAAGCAATACATAATTGAAGGCAAGGTATAAAGAAATCTTTATCCTCTCTACTGATGAGAAAACTTGATCCAGTTTATCAATACAGTAGAGTCCCGTTATTACGATGTTCACTTTGTCAAGAAAAAATATCGTATTACCGAGGGCAACGTAATAAAAGTTCCCAATAAAATCCAAAAAAAACATCGTTTTGAAAATGTGTTGTTGTATGATGGGGGTATTTTTCGCCTTTCGTCACCTTTGAATGCTTCAATTCTTAGTTAAAATGCTATCTACACATAATTTATTGATAACTTATCTTGAAATGATGCTATTTCTTTTTTTTTTTAGTCATAGTAAAAGATTTGCACACAATTTTAATAGAAACTTCGGCAATCTTTTTTCATTTGCCGCCATTTTCTTTAACATGTGCTTTTACTTTCGTTTCTGTCTTGATAATGCGTTCGTGGAAATGTCTACGTTTTCGTATTCAATTCATTGTCTTTTCAACAACAGCAACAGCAATTTTATTTAATTATTTATTTTATTTAAAGAATGAGTACACAACATTCATGTATTACAATCACAGTCTGGAAGGTCACATGGGAAGCTCCATGTTGTCATCTGATCATGATGTTTTGCATGAAAGATGTCAATCAGCTACACCCAACCGTAAAGCACAAACATTTTTCAACACCAAGACATGGACATTACATTTATAATTAAAACTCAGTCTTATTCATGTGGCCTTTGATATGATTTCCATATCACAAGAACAATTTAGGACTACTGGTTAACGTATAGGTTTAAAATCAATTAATCTGCTGGTTCAATTTTTAAGATATATTGCCTAAAAACATAGGACCTGAAAGCTTGTGTTTTTCATGCTTGTGTGAAACATATGGAGAAAATGTACAGTATTCAAGATCAAAAGTCCATAAAACAATACAAAACAGGAGCAAAGCAAACATGGACCTCCGAAACATCAGAGGTGGATCAGGTGCCATGGAGGAGTGAGCATTCCCTGCTGATCGGTCAAACCCGCCATGTGCTCCTTGTCATGATTGGGAATTAACGGAAAAATCTGTCGTCAATTCAGTGTATAAATAATGGACTAACAATTAGTATGAAAAACACTAGTCAGCATTTGACTCAATGATATATTGTATTTGCTGACAAGGTCATTGTATCAACCATAGAAATGATGACTTTAAACGAGACTGCTGATATTCTTGTTTCATCAACTTGTTTGTCAATGATTTATTCAGTTTAAAAAATTGTTCATACATAGAGCATGCTCTTGCATATCGAATCAACTGAGATATAAAAACTCAGTATGCAGGTGATGAAGGTATATCAAAGCTGCATAAGGAAAGGAAGTTGATGTTTGTAAAGTTAAAAGTAATCATGTTTCTCATAGAGCTTGGTTGTTAGATTACCATTAGTCTTTTTCAAATAAAATATCCAAATATGGATGGAACAGATGTGTCAGATTCTCAGATGAATGTGATCCCCCCCCCCAAAAAAAAAAAACTATCCCAAAACCTCAATTTTTACCTTATGTCACTGACTAAAAACTGTTTTCAAAACCGGGGAAAAAAAATCATTCACAGAGTGATCAGAATTAGCCATTCCTTTGGGCTTCTGATTGAAATATTTAAAAGGCATCAATATTTCTTGGAGACAAAACCTAAGTTTGTCTGGATAAAGCCTTCCAAGGGTTGTATTCACTCTTGGAAATATTGGCAATTAAGTTCTGCTAGAACCAATTTCTGCCCGGGATAAGCAATCAATGTGGTTGTTGGATATTTAGAAAGATCCTCAATATCAGAAAATGTGACCAATGCCTTGTGAGATTCTAGGAAACAGTTACATCTAGGCCTCTCCTACTCTTGATTTTCTTTGAGAGTAAAGCTGTTCACACTTTAAATGAACCTGTTGTTTTTCGAACATATATATCAACGCCCTTTACTTCCACTCCATTCAGGAAATTACTTGTACATTGTCTACAAAGTCTTGATCTTATCTGTGTTCTGTGTGTATCTACCTATACCAATTTTGTCTGTGCAGCGATTCCATTGAGGACACGCTGTACTCTGCATCTCAGTGGAAACAAGACTTATCAGAACAGACACACCACGTACTGTTACAAGCCAAACACGTGTAATGACAGACAATGTACAATTCTATTTATCTTGTGCCTGATCCACAAAAAAACTCACAAGAGGGAAATAAGGGTTAATATTAAGTAGGTTCTTCACCAAAAAACATCTTAAAAGATGAGAATTTAATGGCATTTCATTCTAGACCAAGAACAGGGTGAAACATATAAGCATATAATGTAAGGGTTCAATTATTTCACACTCATTTCTGCTGGATCTGAAACTAAAAAAATTCTCTGTCAATCATTATTGCAGTGAAACTCTAATACAAGTTTCTAAAATTTCTAAAGCATCATTATGTTAGGAGGTCAATTTTTATTCCCCTATCCTTCCAAGAAACAGCTGGTGAAACTAGCTACAAGTGCCTAGTGCAATACCCCCACCTGATGCCCCCCAAACTTTCTCCTCCAGGAAGCAATTATTCTCAATCTCTAAGTATTATCATTTTTTATCAAATATTGTGCCTCCTGCAACCTATAGCACAGCCACATATTTGTAGAACAATATTACACAAAATACCTGAGTCCTGACATCTGTATAAATATGGTTAACCATATATATAAAGGTAGCTCTGATAAAGAAATGGAAAGACAAGAGTATTACCCTGTATTCTAACAATGCCGTTATGTAACAATGCTATCCGACATGACCTAACATTATAACTGGGAGGGGAGGCACAGTTTGTGAATCACTTTCAGCAAATGTCTATGCTTGAGCAGGAGGTAAAAGTCAGGCTGTTTTCCCCCTATCCCTAACTCATCCTTAATATCACTGCTATGTTAAACAGCTCCTTCATCACAAAGAAACATGGCAAATAATATTATTCAAGTCAGTCTGCAAGGTTATATGTTCTTTAATGTTCTTACTGATAATTGTTTTTGCACGATCCACTAAACATGTATCATCTCTGAAACAACACCAATAAATACAACTGATTTCATATTGTATGCTTTTAAGATGTCATTTTTCAATTTTTAGCAAGCATTTATTTATATACAACCATTTCTGCAGTTTCATAAACATGTCCACTTCACTTAATGTGGAAAACTTATCACGATTCAGTGCCAAATGAGTCAATTTTCTCTCTTTTAGTTCTTGTGACAAATGTGGTTATTGGTGATTGATTATCCCGACCAATGAATGGGGGATGGCTGCCAAATTGAACCTTACTTTTCAGGATGAAGTTTTTGTCCATGAATAATAAATAGACTCTGATGATTTTTTCTTTGAGGTTTACCAAAAATACACACTAAACAGAAATACAAAAAATACACACTAAACAGAAATACAAAAAATCCCAAGTACTGCAAAAATACACACTAAACAGAAATACAAAAAATCCCAAGTACTGCAAAAATACACACTAAACAGAAATACCAAAAATACATACTAAACAGAAATACCAAAAATACACACTAAACAGAAATACAAAAAATCCCAAGTACTGCAAAAAGTGTAACACGGCAATCAGGGATTTTTTTTTTCTAAAAGAAATGAATCACGAAGTATTGTTTTTTAAGGACTAGCTGGAACCAGGTCCAGGAACACATAGGCTAAATTAAACAGAAATACCTAATAAATTGTACTAATTAGTAATTCTAATCTTCATTTTTTTTTAAAAGATGTGTTCATGTATACAGGCATCAATTCTTTTGGACTGTGAAGTCTAACTAAAACACTGAATGCAATTAGGGCAAAGTAAAAGTTTAGCTAATCATTCTACTGAACTGAAGGTACCTATACTTAAGTTTCCAAGGTTCTTGTATTTTATCTCTTTTATAAATGATTATAAAAAAAAAATAGTTATACCATACAGTCAACCATATTTTACAAGATTTCCAAATCTTTTTTGATTCACTCATATTGAGAAACCATCAATTGTTACAGTTTGAGACCTTGTACATGGAAGTTTGAGACCTTGTACATGGAAGTTTGAGCAGGATTCTTATTTTTTCAAGCAACTGCACAACACAGGTCCTCAGTTTATATAGTCTCATCCAAAGGACCAGTTTATACACCCCACAGAACGATGGATTCCACAACTTAAAAGATAACTCTTACTCGGCAACACTACTGAATATCAAAAACTGATTTACAATACTTATTGTTATAATGACTTTGTTTTGGTGACGATGTTAAGACAGGAAAGCATATACCGCATACAGGGCTATTTTTGCCCTATCACATTTGCAGACGATCTTGCCCGTTTTAAATTTCCCCAGTCATACTTTTGTTTAAGAAATTATAATGTATTTTTGAATTTGTCCCATTTTAAATATGCCCAAATAAGGGATGGGACGAAAATAAAACGGGGCGAAAATTTCCCTGTATACGTTAGGTTGGGGACAAGAATAGACACATTTGGATGCAAGATCTTAGAACAGTTCATTGTTTTGGAAATTAAAAGACGATCAAGTTAACAGCTTGGATTAAAAGTTAATATGTTAAGAAGGAGTGTAAGATGAGCCTACCCACAGTAAGAATTTCAGTATGGCTATGATACAGATTGAATATTGTTGGTCATATTAATCTAGGTTAAATTGACCCAGATTAACTTAACCAGAGAATAGTTGACCCATGAGGAAATTGTGGTAAGAAGGCAACCTACAGTTTAAGGATAAAATTAAGGTTATAACCAGATTAATCTTAAGTCCATATGGAATGTTCCTATAATGGGCTACTGGGCATCTGAGTCTGAATCAGGTAACGATTAAGAAACCAGGTTACAAACTCAACATTTCCAGGAGAGAGATATCAAACCATCCAATAAAATAATAACCAACATTTCAAATAGACACTTCTCTGTTGTAAATTAACCCACTTATATCCAAATCCATGCTGTACAAATAATACTCTGTATCATTGCATTAATATGCCACAATAAAAATCAATCTGGAAACCAGATGGCCATTACAGATTTAATCTCAAATTACTCAGATAAATAGTAGAAATGGTGATCTAAATGTCAGTGCTATCAAGCCAGGATAATTCCTGGTCATTAAGGTCCACATCTTGGGAAGTTTGAATATTTGAACTGCCAGACTGAGTATAAGTATGCTCAATTTTTTGTAAAGACTAAAGTTAACAATGTAAACATGGTAAAAAGCAAAGTGCTTCAAGATAAACTAAGGAACTATGATAATAAGTCAATGTAAGCCATATAAGTACTAAATTATAAAAATTATTTCAAAATAAGGGTACTGTTTGCAAGATTCATGTCATAGGCATTGGAGATAGTAGCACAAGATGATCCATACACTAACAGTATGTGTTAATGAACTGCTTGCAGGAAATGCCTTTGCCATGCAAATGCTTGTTGACAGTTCTTGCTTCTTGACTTTCCCCAAACCTCTTTGTTTAACTTTAAATTATTATTTTTCTAAAAGTACCCCATCTCTCTGTTACAGTGACACTGTTATACATTATATTAAAAGAACTCACTTTACAGTTCCCCCCATATTAACTTGAGTCAATTTCTACAATGTGCACGCCATGTCCAATTATCAGAGTGCACATCGAACAGTAACAAGACGAGCATCATCATCACTTACCGTGGTAGTCACATCTGCCGTACCCTCTCACAATGTGTTTGAATACCCGATCCCCGGAGGGGTCGTGCACCTTAATTAACACGTATTTGAATTTTCCACTTTTGTCTATATCGACATCAGGAACAGTCATTAGTTTGGCATTCTTGTAGGCTTCTGGTGAAGCTATCGCCGTAGCGGGCACCGACATTTGGACGGACAGGTGAAAAAATGTCAAAACGGAAAAGAATTTCAACGTTTGTACACTGAATCACTCGACTTGAAGTAGTCCTGAATGTTTGAAGGAAATACAAAACAGCGAATCTTATATCGACGATCTCTCAAGAGCTCTATGAGTTCAGTGAAGTCACTTTCGGCAGCATGTGAGCTCTGCGTAAGACAGGTGTTTCCCTGCCGCGCTCCGCGTTTTGATTGGTTAATCTAGGAAGAGGGAATTCCGAATGGCATTTCCTACGAAAGCCAAGAAGAGTCATGAGAGAAAGAGGCAAACAAATCGACGATTTTAAGCTTTGAAAAAAAGACAAAAATTTCATACCATTGAAACACTAACATTTTTTCTTGCATCATCAAATTATATCCATCATGCTATTGACCTAAATTTTCTACAAGGTCATGTCAAGGTCGTATTCTTTTAGAATATTTTATCTTTCACCGTTTAATAATGGCCACTAAATTTTAAAACAACATGTTACTTTATGATTTTTTTTGATGTTTATCACGATAAATAAAAAGAAAAAAACTCTTTTTAAAAACAAGAGATGTTTGTAAAATACTTATGTCCCTCCTCTAAATGACTGTCCAGAATTTTTCTAAGTCCAAGGGTCATGTCTCACACTCAAAACAGATCTTGGCCTAAATATTTTCATGATAATTCTGAATACCAAATTTCATTTCAATATGTGCAACCTCTGCAAAGAAAAGGAATGGAAAGTGCAAATAATTGGAATTTTTCTAAGTCCAAGGGGCATCAAGTTCTCTGTCCAAAATGGCTCGATCATACCTACCTGCAGAACTGTAGCTATCCGAAAAATATATTGAAAGACTCCGATCTGTCAATATATATATTTATTTCGGAGAGCCATGTCCAGTCCTGCAACTAGATCATACCCAAATCAGAACTTGATTTAAATATTCTAATGATAATTCTGTATACCAAATTCCTTTTCAATATAAGCAATATGCTCTCCCTTTGTCGAAGAGGGGCTTAAAAAGTGTAGAATAATATATGATTTCATTTCGAGTTGACATTTAAAAAAATCTGAAAAAGAAATCGATGTATGGTAGCACATTTTATGAATTGTTAAAATATGGTGCTTTGACATTTTTTTCTCTTAAAATTACATGTATTATTAAAAAATGATTTTATGATATTTTCCTAATCTACTTGTAACAGTTGACCTTTCTGTCTCTGGACCTATAAAGTCCAAGAATAAATCCAGTGCTTTAAGTTTAAGGTTGCAGTATAATTGTCTTGTCGCTGAATCTCGCACAGATTCATTTGTCTCCTAGATGTTACAGACAAGTGTCAAAACTAATCGCAGCTCTGTTTATAATTAATTTTCTCGCAGTGCTATTACATTGATATTGCTTTCCTTATTGAGATCGATGTTTTGAGGCCTTGTAGTGACACCTTAGTGAAGATTGTTTATTTATTTCAGACACTTTGTTTTTTCTTTGCAGTGACTTTGCATTGTTTGATAAGAGGGGTGATGCCCCAATGCATTTTACCATTACTCCAAGCCAGACCGATAATACAAAATGGTCATCTAAGTTGTTTTCTTTGGCACTAAGACCTATGGCATGAAATTGACAGACTTCTAATATGTTATCAGAACAAATGTTGTTGTAATTGTGCTTTTCAGAAACACTATGCACTATGCTATTTTTCCCTCTTTGAATTTTTTGCTCGTAAACTAATAAATAGCTATTTTGAAAGAGAAAACCTTCCAATCCGTTAACCAACACAATAGATTACAAGCAATACAAAAGAACTTTGTATATTTGGGTGTAATGGTGGAGTGTATTGAATATTAAAACAAGAAAGCACGAAAAAAGAGATCTTGGACACCACAGATACTTTTCATTTTCCTACTGGAGACGATGGAAACCATCTCCATTACACTTTTTTTATATTATTAGATTACCCAGAAAAAAATATGGATCCTGCGATGCAAAATAATGGAAATGAACATTTTATATGCCACAGAGGGTCATCACACACATGGATAAGTTAATTATATTCTACCCTGAATATTGTAAACCAGAAGACTCTGACGAGATTGACGCTCTACTGGGTTGTACTTATAACAAAGGAAGAGAAAAGTAGCAGTATACAGTTGTTGACTGGGGTAGAGGGAAACAGTCGATCTGTTGGATCGGAGTGCAAACTGTTGCCCAAGGTCGTAGGCTGTGGGCCACATCTTGTACCTTAGTGTAGTCTACTTGTGTACCAAGTTATACTGAAATCAGACCAAAACTGTAGGTGGAGTAGCATTTTGAAAGTTTTCACAGATATTTCTAATTTTAGTAACCACGTCAACACCGTTCACAGAAATCAAAAACCTATATACAGAATTATGTATCTTAGTGTAGTCTACTAGTGTACCGAATTATATTAAAGTTAAACCAAAACTGCATGTGGGAGGCGTATCATTTTGAATGTATTTCAAAGAAATTTCTATTTTTTCGTAACCACGGCAACACCGTTCATCGAAATGAAAAAAAAAAGATTCACAGAATTATGTATCTTAGTAAACTCTACTTGTGTGCCAAGTTATATTGAAATCAGACCAAAACTCTAAGAGGAGTAGCATTTTGAAAAATAGTTTACAGACAGACAGACAGCTAGACAGCTAGACAGACGCATTAGTATCGCATAAGCTCTTCTGGTCTCTGACCAGAAGAGCTAAAAAATATTAAAAATAAGAAAAAGTGAAATAAATTTCAAATACAATGTGACGAGAACATTAATGAAAGTTTCATGAAATATGGAAATAACGAACAGTACTCAAGGTCAAACCCATTCAATTAACGAATATAAGTCGGGAGCCGAGCAATCAAACCTCTAAAAAACATCAGAGGTGGGATCAGGTATCATGGAGGAATAAACATCCCCTTCAACCGGTCATAACCACCGTGTGCTCTTTGTCGTGATTGGGTAAACGAAAAAATAATGTATTATCAGGTGGAAGGAAAACTGTTTGTCAGTATTTGACCTAATAATAAATGTAGATTGTATTTACTGATAAGGTAGGTCACTGTATAGACGATAGAACTTGCGAAATGATGACTAAGACTGAAAATATCCCTGTTTCATCAACTTGTTGATTGATAGCTTGCCTCTTTTAACAACTGATCATACGAAATATCCTCTTGCGTATCGAATCAACCGGGATGCATAAGCCCTATATGCAAGTGACAAAAGTATATTGCAACATAAGTAAGGGAAATTGACGACAGGAAAGTTAAAGTCATCAGGTTAATCATAAAGTTTTGTCAGGTTACAATAAACGCCCCTTTCTAATAAAATATCCATATATGAAGTAGATATATCAGCTTTTTGGCCTGGTGTCTTTCATTTGTAGTTCATTTGTATTGAGAATCTATTTATGAATGGAAGTAACTATTGTTGATTGATAATATCGAAATATCTAAAATGTCGAGCTGGCAGTCAAGGCTAATGTTTTCGTCTCATGTGGTAGTTTTTGAATAAATTCTGCTTCATATGAATACAAAAGCAGGTCTTCCAATAATGGGACACAATTGGTACCCATGACAATTACAGCAGATTGATAGAAGATCATATCATAAGATAAACTGTATACATATAATTTCTTTTGGAAGTTTTCCAAATATATTAGATAATCTTCTTCAATAGCATAACAATTCCAGTTGAATTTGGGGTTGCACATTCATAATGAAAGGTCAACAATTGTAGATTGTACTTAAGAGATCTCGATAAGGACATAGGAGAACAAAACGAACGGGGAATGATTAAAAAAGAATATTATAGAAACGATTACACAGGGAAAAAAAGTTTTCGGCGAGAATGCCCCCTCCCCCTAAAAAACACGAACAAATCTAGGAACAATGATAAAAACAAGAGAAAGCAATTGCTCAGTCCCTTAGATCATCGAAAGTAGATGCAGGAAAAAAATCTACGGGACTTGGTACTGGAGCCATTGTTAATTATATAGTGGACAGGATGGAGAGTGTATTTGGTACTACAGAACGACGATTGTTTGATTGATTGTATGTTGTTTAACGCCTCTCTCGAGAATTTTCACTCATAACGAGACGCCACCACTTGCCGGTGGAGAGCTACAACTTTTGTCCTATGTTCGGCACTTAGGGCCATAGAGCAGTGAGGGATCTTTTTCGTGCCAGCACCTACTGCAACACGAGACCTTGGTTTATAAGGTATCATCCACAGGACCGGTCTCCACGTCCCACAGTGGGATTCGAACCCGCGACGTAAGGATCGACTCCTTACTTCACGACTCTAAGGCAGACGCTCTAATCACTGAGCCACGCGGGCGAAACAGAACGACGAGAAACCACCATTATACAGTTCTACAATGCATGACAACGGAAAGGAGTGCATGAGTTAGATATGTCGTTTGGAAGAGATTTTTAGAAATCATTTTCTATTAGTTGTATGTGGGGATTAATTTATACGCGTAAGCACAAATAAGGGTAGTTGTCATAGTATATAAGAAGTTGGTCACGTAAAGCGGTTTCGACGAGCAATAATCAACCAGATTTTACGCTTTTTTTATACATATAGATATATATATATATATATATATAATGTATAACTAAAGATGTTTCATTGTATTTTGCAGATAGATTGTATTTGGAATTTTGGCATCATCCAGTGCATCGCTACTTAAAGTCGCGTGTTAATTGTACATATATGCGAATAAACTGGTTGATAGGCGCTCAACATACTTTATATCTGCGTTCTGAAATAGAAAGATTTGAAACGAAGGAGAACATAAAGCGGTTATCAAAGGAAGTGCAACCAAGTAATAAGGATACTTATGAGAAATTATGATAAAAAACTGGAATTGATTACATCAAGGATTAAGGGTATTATTGTTTACAAATTTTATGTTTTGTCCAATTTCAAGTAAATGGCAAGGAGATCAGACTTGTAAACAAGGACATGAAAATAAGAAGGCACAATTAAATAGATTAAGAAACTCAAATTTAAGGAATGATTCAACAGTTTACCACCAAGACAGTGCTTTGGAAATAAAAAATCAGAAGGACAGTGTAGGGCCAACAAACTGAAATTGCAAAGATCTTGGTGAACCATATCATAGAATTCTGCCACAGTGCAGAGGAGGATGGGGATGTCACATCTGGAAAGTCATACAATAGACGTCATCAATACAGAAATTA